CCTACATGTTGTCCAATTTGGGAATAGTCATTCATGGTCTTAAGATGTGTGTTCTTACCACCGCATGTTTCTTAAACAGTAGAGTAAATCTAACAACGCCTTAACAGAGGCGTAGCCAGGATTTTTCAAAGGGGGGGGGGGGTCACAGAGGCTACTCACCAGATTGTCATGTCGACCTCCACGCCCATATTAACTAAAGACAAGAGCCGTTGACGAAAATACTTGACAGAAAAACAAATTTTAAAAAAGTGGGCTTTTCAACAATAGCTTTTACGGCCAAGATATTGTCATGGCGTTTTCGCCACCTGATTATTGTACGTTGTTTGCTCAAAAGAAGGCCTACCAAGAGGGGGTCACCGGTACCCCAGGAACCCCCCTAGATACGCCCCTGGTCTAATAGCCCGCGAGCAAGCTCTCCATTTGGGGGATATCGTGAACGGTAGACGCACTAGAGGCACGCGAGTCCCGGCTTCTCCGTTCGCTCCCGCGTTCTCGCTTCACTCGCCCAAATAGGACAGCTGGCCCGCAGGCTAAACGTTTTTCAAGTTTTGGTCTTAGCTTCCTTTTTACCTGAGCCCAGCCAAAAACACTTTCTGTGTTTTTGAATATCAAAAGTAGTTGCTTTCAAAGCAACTACTCAGCTGACTACCTTTGATCTATGTGAAGTCGAAGACCTTTTTGAACGTATCATATTTAAAGGCATGAACCGTTGTAAGACTATATTTTCGTGCCTCCCTTGTGTCTTAAGTAATTTCTGTCAGTATAAAATATATGCGTTATCGACCAACGATGAAGTTAAAGATGACTGGTCAATAACAGCGCAAGAAAAAACGAGGCCAATATCCACCTATCTAGATGGAACAGGCGAAAAAAGCCAAAAAGGCAGAAAATAAAACTTTATTTTGCAGGACGAACACGGGAAATCCCGAGCATTCAAGATAGGCCCATTTTACCCTCGCGTGTAGCCAATCAGAACACAGGTACAGGGGTATCCACTATCAAGTCCAGCCTGATAATGAAAATAATACTGATGCCAAATAAATCTTCATTCTCCACAGGGATACCACCTTTACCAACCACATCAAGCTTGTCAACTGCCAACTCATCTCTATCAGCATCTACAGGCTCCACGCCTGCTTCACCATCCAATCAGCTTCAACTACAAAAAATTAACAACGAGTCGTTTCCTTATTGGGCAATCGGTGTAACTGTGGTTGCCCTCGGTATCATTATATTCGCCGTCGTTCTGCTCGTTCGTAGATACAAACGCCGCACACGGCAGAGCGATCGCCGATCGCATCGATGCGATCATCGTATGATCGATGCGTCAACCACTTTGTCGTCACTCAAAGATCCACTGGAAACATAGAGGGCGGGTTTTAAATTAAGTTTAACTCGTGCCTATTGTTAGTGTCCCCCAAAAGCTAGAGTATCCCCTCTATAGTCATCAAAGTCCGTCCTTTCAATTCTGTTAAGTCTTATTAGCACAAATACAATACAATCAGTGTTCTAGAACAAGCTGGAAATTAGTCTGTACTAGGCTTTCAGATAGTAGGGACGTCGTGAAAATAAAACAACCTCTCTCTCTCCCTAGGGCCCCCGAGTTTTTCGCATCACTTGTGACTGCACAATTGCACTAATCAGTCTTGGAACCTCGAACAGGCTAGCTGGAGATAGCATACATCTTATGCAGCTTAAGTTCCGCAAAACAAAAGGTGTTTGTTTTGTTTTGCAGTCCCTTGAAGTAGATGACACGCACAGGAATAAGCTACAATCCTGCCTCAACTTAAAGCTTCGGGAATGACTTTCTAATAAAAACTTCATGCCTCTCAGACCCACTGGAATGTGAAAATAGCACTAATACGATAACTTGAAGATGACTTTTGGTTAACTCTTACCAAAATCTACTCTGCGAGCAATATATAGATTAGTAAATACAGGTGTACAGTGCTGTGTACAGTATTTAACTTAAGCTTCGTTTTCTGTTCCGTATATGGAAGAAATATCGGAGACTTAATCACTTAGGGTGTTCAGGTGTCGCCTAGGGGTTGCAGGGGCGGATCCAGGATTTTTTTTAGGAGGAGGTGCACTCGTCTCTTGCTCTACTTCAACACCAATAAACCATATAGTTTTTTTTTGCAAAATACCATTGTATTAGAAAACCGCAGGTCATCTCAGGGGGTTGTGCGCACCCCCTGCACCCTCCCCCTAGTTCCGCCCCTGGGTTGTGTGTAAAGAAATATCGCTTAATATAAAAGAACTAACGCCTGGTATACTGTGTTAGAGCTTAGTCTCCTTTAGGGGTTAAATAAAGCTTTAGCAACTCCTATATTGGTCTCCTTCACTCTTCGACGAGTATCTAGAGTATTCCTGTCTTTTTCATATGGGGTTTTCCCCAATAAATTTCGTGGTGTCTTTCCGGGTCCCCCCCAAGAAGGGATGAATGCGTTTACTAGACGTCATTACAAGGTGAAGAACAAAATATAGCCGGCGTGGCAGGCGAAAATAGGGGAGCAAGGGGGAGAAAAGCGCGAAAGGGGACCCCCCCTCCCTTTTTCCCTTCCTCCCAATTTCCTACCCATTTCGACGCCTGCTAAGCAGGCTCAAACACAAAACTCTAATATACAATGGAAATTAAATCAAGTAGGCAAAATTTTTAGTGGCCAATATTTCGACTAAACATTGAATTTTACTTTGAAGCATACAAACTTATCTAAATTTGGGCTGCACTTGGTTAGTTTTCACACTTCTGAACTCATAACAGTACTAACAGTTATGAGGCAGACACGGAGGAGCTTTTTCATCACTATCCTACTTTATTCACAACACAGACAGCATCCTTCAATATTAAGCAATATTATTAATAAATAGAGTATAAACCACGTCCAAGAGTCTCACTAGCCTACGGGCAAATGTGGATTCTGTAATACTGGCTACAGTTAACACAGATTAACCCTTAAACATTTTGTAAGGGGCTAGCAAAACAGATCAGCCATCAGTCTCTGAAGTAACTTGCCATTTCCTCTTTCGTTCATATTCGTGACCTGACGCATGTCACGCACGGCTCATTACACGGCTCATCAGGGTCACCGCTCATCAGAAGATCACGTTACTAGTTACATTGTGAAATGGAGGGACAAACGTTGATGTTTGTCTTTTTCCTTACGTGTTCTGTATTAGTAGTCAGTAGAAAATTTCCAGCAGTTAGTTCCAGAGACTTAAAAGGAAGGCAAGGTAATGCTCGACACAGAACATTCAACAGTGAGTTTCGCTTAAAGAGAGATCTACGCCTGAACAAGCAAGTGATTCCTGGTTCACCTTCTAGGAAACGCTATTCCCGCTATGTGTTTTCAGGACCAGAAAAGAGGTCTTTTAATTCAGAAACTTCCGATCAGGACCACAAGGTGAGATTTAAAAACAGGTTTAAAGTGTTCTGAGTGTTTGTTTGGTATATTTTGTCTACTTAGTATGTTGAAATTACAAGCACTGTACGTGGGAGTTCGTGAACCCTAATCGTACTATCGATTCCATTCGTTTCATTTCAAAATCATAAAACTCAATGGAGCACATCCTTTTCTCAAACTCCACCGCTTCAAATTAACAATTAACGGTCGGTTAATATAAAACAATATACCCAGATCCTATTTATGACATCCGTAGCTGTTGTGTTTCAATAGCCAAGACTGTTGGCGTCTCATGATCAGTTGAATCAATCCCTAACCGGAAGTCCTGATTCTTTTTAGAGCCCTCGGTGCCTCATACACGACCCCCCTTCTCTCACCCTGAAATGTTGTTTAAAATTAAAGCGCCCACTCCCTCAAGCAGGCTACAAGCACCCCTGTTAAATAAGTGCTTTTATTCCAATAGCCCACGTTTAATGTATTAAAATTCTAAGATGACACCAATGAGGCTTTCTAGTCATGCATATTTCTATATTTGGTTTGGTTTTATTTGTGCCCAAGTCTCTTCTTGGAATTGCGAGACAATGGAGACGTAAAAAATGTGCAATTTTTTCCATAAAGCCTCAGAGTCTTGTTACAATTTAAATATATTGAGTGTGGGCTACATTAGCTAACTCTCTTCTTGTGTCGAACTTTTGGTTATTTTCCAAAAGGAAAATCGATAAATAAATAGTCACCCCTGCTCGAATAAGTCTTCCTTCCTTACATTAACAATCAAGTTGGGTGCTAAAAGCGAATAATAGTTGGCCCGGGCGTATCAAATCATTGCATTGGCTTGACCTATTTAAATTTAAGTTCCTTTCCATAATTTAGTATCCGCTTTCTGTGAGTTGTCTTTGTACGCGCACTCTGCATTAATTAGGATTAACGATAGTGTACACATTTCTAGGAAACATTGCCACTGATATCAAGCACAGCAAGGTTTGAAAAAGATTCACAGGCTGAAGAAAAAAGTGTATTACGTCATAACAAGAGCCTTAATGGCTCTAATTGGTCATAAAAGTAACAGAATTTCTGTTTTGTTTTCTCAAGTTCTTCATTATGAGGTAGAAATCCTTATATTTGCCCTCTCTTTTTTTCCGGTAGCTCAAAGATTTGAATGGCAATGAAGGGAGACTCGCTGGTGCGACTAGAACGAAAAGATCAACGGCCGACCATCCACAGAAAGGTATGGAATTCAGATGGATGGGGCTGTCCAAAAAATCCTGGGATGTTTTCTAAGTGGTAATCGCATCCAGGGTACAGCTTAGGGAAGGGAAACATACATTATCGCGCAAAATTGTTCGATCGTGCCGAATCACTGCGAGAAAAACAGAACCCAGCATCATAGGTATACTACTCCACTATAAGCAGTCCGTTGATAAAAAAGGAAAGTAAACTCTGCTATTTTCCAAAATTATGCTCGAACACAAACAGTTCAAAATCATGGCATTTACAGGATCTAACTCGTACTAAGCAGGGGCACCCAACGAGGATATAGTTCAAAACTGAACATAGCGTTGTTGAACGTATTTTACTGATTCAAACGATAGATATAGGCATATTTTTATCCCCTAAAAACTTTTCATCTGTTCGGATTTCCTAGCTGAAAGTCTAGTGACCCGAAAATTATAGGGATAAAAACTTACCTTCTCGAAAATTGCAGCCAGGAAAAGGCTCCCGAAAATTCTAGGTGGCCTTTTTTAGGGTCAAAATCCGTTACAAATTAACAATTATTCTTTGAAATCGAGGTGAATAGTGGCAAAATATTTGCCGAGCCGAGCTTCAAAGTAGGATGGTACCCCGTAAAAAAAACTGGGTCGAGTCACCTTAATATTTTGTACATTCAGACCAAGTTTGTCAAGGAAAGAGTCAAAGCAAACAAAGTTTTCCCAATTATCCAAAATTTAGGACACTTTGTGGTCAATTTAAGGGGTGGTTTGGCCCTGGCGTGATAAGGAAGAGCTGAGTAAGAACTGACTTGAAGTTCCATAGCCATTTCTAACCTGGCTAAAATCACATAATCGCAGGTTAAAATAGTTTTATTTCTCTGCTACTGCGCACGCCTGTTACCCTAGCCTGCGCCACATACGAAACTAAACTCTGGTTAACAGCGCCGAAATCCTTATTCTGGGCACCACCTGTGTAACCTGTGTACCAGTATCTTAGTGCGTGCTATTATTTGTCTGTTAAAAGTCCATCGAAACATCCTTTAAACTTCACTGCCTCAAAGGTTAGAGGCCTCTTTGTGCTGTAGGGAGGCTAAGGAGAAAGAAAAAGAAAGTGTGCGGGGCATACCCAGAAGAGGCTTGATTGAGGAGGAGGGAGGCCGCAATCCCGCGGGGGGCTCTCATATGAAAGGGGAGGGGATGCTCTTCGAAAATTTTGAATGAACCCCTTGAAGGAGACTAATCTGGGGGTGGCCCAACCATTTTTGACCTCTAAAAGAAGTTTGATTACATGAATCGGGTAAATGATACGGAAAGAAAATACATAATTTTTTTATATTTCTTCCCGGCTAAATATAATGGCGCCTTTTCCCACAACTGTACCCCCCAAAGCGAGAGGACGAGTATCCCCGCCCCTTTCATATGGGAAAGAAAGAAAATGGGCCGAATGTGAACTGACATCCGGAGAAGAAATACACGTGGATCCTCTGGGAAAATTTTAAAAAAAGAGAAAAGAAAACTGGCATAAGCTTTATGAAGTCCATTTACCTCTCGTGAGACTGCGCACGAGAATGAATTCTCGGAACGACATCTTCGGTCAGCGCATGCCAGGTGTTGATATTGTTTATTACATACCATACTTGTTTTATCACTTGAAACTCCTTACTGCCGATGAGCTTTAGGAAAGAGCTGAGTAAGATTGGCGCATTTGAATATATTTCTATAGATATTTGCGCCTTATAAGTTTTTTAAATTAAAATCAAATTAAATTAAGAACTGACTCAAATATTGGAAGTCGCTTTAGCCTACGATTATGCCCTCCCTAAAAGTCACCTATACTACTTCCATCCTCCGTCACGCAATGCAGGTTAAACTATTACACTGCACACATCTGGACATGAAAAGGAGGTTTCAAAGCTGGACTAAGGTCCTCATGCTATTGGTGGTAAAGCACGTCAGCCACCTCTTTCAACTGAAATTGCGCATTAGCTACACGCCAATCAATGCGCAACTTCCGGTCGGAAAATTGTTCGATATACTTCCTCAACATCTCTCCAATGATAAATCGCAATGCGTAACCAACATTTCCTTTCTTTCTGTTTCAGATGTTCCTGCATTCCTTTTGTACATTGTCGGTACTGCTATTAAAAAACTAACATTAGATAATAATGCCGAGAGCACACTTGTGCAGCTGAATGGTTCCCCGCCGCCTTTATTCTTAGACTTTCATTACAAAGAAAACCGTTTGTATTGGGCGGATGGAAATTCCATTCATCGTTCCTTTCTGAATGATGGAACTGGTAAGTGATGCATGCAGTTTTTTTGAAATTTGTTCGCCGTAACTGGATCTATACCTTTTTCTTGCTGAGGTAATTAAATGGAAGAAAATTCCCTTTCATGAGGGTAAATGTTGGGAGAAAAAATGGGGAGAATTGTTGTTTTGGTGCTTTTGATCTTTTTGAAGTCAGGGAAAAAACAGTGAAAAAACAACTTACCTCATACATAGGGGCTGGAGATATCTATTAACCCTCCGACGTACACGCAAATTCAGGGGGGTTGGTTGATGGAACCTCTCTCCAGAGTTTTTGATATAATGCAGTACTTCGAAACGATTTTGCCTTCAGTGGAAAGCCTTTGATGTTCTCTACAAGATAAGTTATATTTAATGGGTGGTGGCGCTGCTGGAGGCCTCTGACGTCACCAACAATGGTCGCCACCTTCCCCGCCATCTTGGATTTTACCAAGAATTAGAAATCAGGTAAAAACAGTGAGAATTAATAATTTTTTGCGCTTAACATGTAAAATAACACACAAATAATTACTTTGCATTATTTTATCCACAGGCTTTGCTTTTAGTCCTGAAAGAAGTTGAAAAACATGCATTTTCACTCAAAAATGGCTTGCCACTTGCTACTTATGACGTCATATTTCGTAACCATAGTAACTGCCCATCAATAAAACCTGTCTCAAAATGCGTGCGGGGGATAAACAAACAGCCACTGAAAACGCCAGTTGCTGATGTTTTATCGTGTAGGAAAAAATTCAAAAAACCTCAGAAGGGGTGGCCCCCCCTCCCCGCTCCTTGTTCGTCCGAGGGTTAAATAGAATGGCCCTACATCGCTTTAAGACTGATTGGTCAGTTTAACCCGGGGCCTATATTAGCATAGCTTGCCAAAAATCAGTGGTAATTTAGATGTATGAATTATTGGCCGCAAACAGCGATAACCAAGACTCGCGAAAGAATAACTGTTTAATAACGAAATTTCCAATCTGGAGCAAGGGTTTTCGGATGTCTATTTTTGTTTGCAAATCTCGATGATGAACACTTTCGCGATCTCGTTGGCCTCATACCGTAAAATTCCGAAAATAAGCCCTGGGGCTTATATTTTTCAAAGGCCCTTTTTGAGGGGCTTATTTTTGGAGGGACTTATATTCGGAGAGGCTTATCTATGGAGGAAAATTTGCGTTTCAAAATCAATTGGGCTAGCCTTTTAGTTGGAAGGAAATTGACCGTTTTTGCTTTATTTTAGTTTGTATTTGATGGCAATTGCCAAGTACAAGCCCCCGGAGGGGGGCTTCTATTCAGAGGGGCGATTTAACGGAGCCTTTTTTGCGTTACGAGTTTGGGGGGCTTATATTTGGAGGGGCTTATACATGGAGGGGCTTATTTTCGGAATTTTACGGTATTTTCCCCCAGCAAGCCTACGCTTTATTAACGTTATTGACCCTTTGGCTGTTATAGGTATTCAAACCCTTTACAGAAATCAGCCTATCATTAAAGGATTAGCGGTTAACTGGTTTGGCAATAACATATATTGGCTTGTTAAGGAGCATATAATGGTTTCCAGAACAGATGGACAATATCTTAAGACCCTGAGCGTAGATTATAGCATAGATAGTAATCTAATGCTTGATCCCGAGAGAGGGTAAGACTGGATTTTTTTTTTCGTCTTAAACAATGTATATTAAAACTGTTCCAACGATGCCATGCAAACGCTCTTACACCAGCAATGAAAGCGGGAAACTTTTGAATTTCATCAAACAGGTTAATTTTCAAACTGAAAAGATGTTAGATACGAGATAAATAAAGAGCATGTCAAAAATGTGAGCAGCGCAGCCCTGGTGGTGTTAAAGGTAGTGGTAAACAAAGTGGCAGGGGAAGTGGCAGTTGCAGTGATAGTTGTAGTGGAAATGGAAGCGTTAGTGGCAATTGCAGTGGCAGCAGTAGTGGTACTGGTGGTGACAGTGTCAGTGTCAGTGGTAGTGGTAGTGGCGGTAGTAGTGGCAGTGGCAATTTCAGTGATGAGTTGAAGTGACTGCGACAGCGTAAGCGGAAGTGGCAGTGGTAATGGCAGTGACAACAGCGGGCAGGTGGGGAGCGGCGGTGGGAGTGGTAGTGGTAGTAGTAGAGTTTGTAGCTCGTATCGAATATAATCAAAACGGAGGTTTAAATCAGTATTTAACAGTGGCGTGTATATCACGAAGCTATCTTGGGTAATATTTTGCCTTTCTTTTGTATTGTGATTCCCAATTCAGGTTCATGTATTGGTTTTCTTCCATGGGTAACCAGGGTGACGATCACAAGATAATGAAAGTTCCAATGTATGGAAAAAGAGAGTTCCATATTCTACATAATTTACCTGGTGACACACACTTTGCCATCGATTACTACGACCGGAAAATTTACTGGACAGGAGCATCAGACGAAGATGCAGATCATGCTTCAGAAATAAAGTCTTACAAGTTGGATACAGATGACATACCCGACGATAAGGTAATTCGATCACTATCAAGATAATTCGTTGTTTAAACGTTGGGTTAAAAATTAATGACATGTTCAATTAGTATGTTTTATTTCAGCAAAAAGAATGACCGCATCACCAACGGATACAATTTACCGTCGGGAGTTTCCCCCCGCGGTATGAGGCACTCAAAGCAGTTTTATACGGGATGCTCCTTCCCGAGGTCGAACCATTTAACCTTTAATTCTATATGATATTATTATATACACTGGAGAAAGTACCATTTTCGAATACGTGACAAACGGTACTCTGTTACTATACATACTGCGACACGTACCGCGACAAGTAATATCTTACATTATATTGACATTTGGCGATGGTCTCACCCTCTGGTACGTCCGCCAGAGAGTAAAAGCTTTCCATGCAGGCAAACCTACTCATCATATCATATAAAACTTATACATCCTTATTATATGTCAGAATTCCCTGATTTTGAGTTTACTGGGTGTAAAACTTCTCCTTAGCGTGGGACATTCAGGGTTGTCGCAGACCTTTCGCAGCCAGAGTCATTAGCAGTTTCAGAGGAGTACGTCTACTGGATCGACGTGAAAGAAAACTCAATTCAAAGAGCAAACAAAACAGTTGGCGATCTCCAAAAGAATATCTCTATTATAATGCAAAATGGGAAGAAAATAAGTGGAAAAAGTCTTAAGCTGGTACACTGGGACATACAGAAAGGTATTACCTTTAAGACTTATTTAGTTTGGTTTTTAGAAGTGATTTTAGGTGTTGCAGTGAGGTAATTGTGGAAGTGCTAATTTGGGACAGTGTAGTTACAGAGTGTTGAAATGAAGTGGTGGTTGTAAAAAGTCTTATCAATAGTCAAAAACATACTTGTACTTATTTCTAACGTTGTTCTTTCTGTTTAGGATTGTTTTCTCTTATTTTTGACATGGCCAAGGCCAAAAGTTTATTTAATATCAGAGAAGGGGGTATGAAGATGTTGGGGGCGGGGGGCGCCGAAATTTTGTCGGGGGCTTTGAAGAATCGGTGAGGTCAAGGAGAGGGCGTACAATCTGGCTATAGAACCAAGGGCCTGGTTACATGAGCCGGGCTGGCTCGCTTTGCAGAGATCCCGGCACCTTAGTTAAACGCAACAAAAATCAACTTTGCGATTATATGACAACCGAGCCAGCCGGATTAGCTGGGATCCCAATATTGTGATGCGGGGCGGCCCGGCGAATGAACCAAGCGAGAAACAGGGTAGCGGGTAACACACTGTTCATGCGCATTGCTTCCCCGGCTCATGTGATCAGGCCTTACTGTGAGTTGTATTGTCACGCAGTTTGCACGTGAAAGCTTTGGAATTTGCAGTTTTCGTGGTTCGTGTATGAGAGAATACGACTTAATCTATTTAACTCAAAGGTTTTAAAAATAAAACGCGGTTTGCACGTGAAGCTCTTGGACTCTGCCCCTTTTACTGTTCAACCGTAAAAGAATGCAACTTGTTTACGAAGTCATTTTGCTCAATACGATTTTAAGAAATCACCTCCCTTCAGAAAATATGCATGAATGAAATTCTGCATCATTCAATGTTACCCTTAATTATGCGATTTACGAAATCGTGGAATTTTGCGTGATATCTTCTTTGGCGCTCGACAACTGAGAGCAAAAATATTGTTTAACTCTTGGCAATGAGCCAAATCAGTCACACCGTGTGCTGCGAGGACGATTGGGAAAATTTAAATTATTTAAGAGTTTGTTTCACTCAGTGTAACTAGTTTTTCCTAAAACGTTTGTTTTCTATTGCCGATTTGTTTGCCGTGCGTTATCTGTGGGTCGTACGTAACGAAGATAAATGCTGTGTTGTGACACAGCGCGGGGCAGACATTCGCGTCGCTTGGCTTCTTTACTTGGCTTGTTTACGTTCGCACGTATTGCGTGCCTATTGCAACTTTGAATCAAAACAAGCGAACTCGACTACTCTATTTGGGCGACGCCCAAATAATAAAGCGGAGATTATAAAAAAAAGTTACGGTAGGACGCACTATACACTGCACAACCTCATTACCAAGGTCTGACGTAACTAACGACAAACGAGGTTGTGCAAGGCATATTCGTTGAAAACCGAGAGAAGATTGGAGGCCTCCACTCTCAATGGTTTCGGTTTGCGCACACGCAAAGTCGTTCTTTCTCCTCTTTCCTTTGAGTGCGCTTTTATTATAATTATACAGTTTGAAAACTGTTTTGACAGAACGCTGAAGAGGCTGAAAGTCTTAACAAATCAATGGCCGTAGGCAGAAAGACCGATCTTTGAGTTTGGCATTTAAAATAATTGGACTGTCCTGCTGTATGAATTCTAACCCATTTAAAGGAATTGCTTTCCATCCTCTGGTTGAGTATTTTATCATCATAATTTTTCTTTTGCGCATGTTGCTCAACGTAAACTGAAATAAACGTTACAAGTTTTACAGGAATGTTGGTGACATCAAAATGGCTCTGGTATTAATAAAAAGCACGACAATAGATATTCAAGGAAAAATAACTTAAACATGCTCAAGGTTTATTTCTGTCAAAACGTCTTCAACGTAACTTTGTTAAAATAGTGGGTTTTTTCTTGAAGTTATTGGCTTAGTCTTGCGCTATTTTACAAACTAGTGAGTTTTTTTAAGTTCCTGGCTTAGGATTTGGCTATTTTGAATACTGCTTAGTTAAATGTTTTTTACAACAGATTTTGTGGGAAGCGACGAATGCACGACACGGAAATATTGTTCACATTTCTGCTTTCCTGACCCAAGTGCGCACCTTTTTCGCTGTGCATGTCCTGACAATTTAACAGCTGTTGGAGTGAAATACTGGAATAGGACATGTGTCTGTCCGGGTGGTGATCAATTCATAGACCTGAATGGAGACTGTACGTACCGTAAGTATAGTTACCTCATATATCATTTTTTCCAATCAGAACAGATTTAATACAATTTTCCACAATTTATCTTAAACAACTGACTTAAAATTAAGAAATATTACACCACTAACATCGCCATGGTGCAATAACATTTCAAAGGTACAGTCACATGACACTATAACTTTCTAGAGATTCCAGAGCCACTGTCTATTTTAGGTTGTTCAAAGCAGGGTCGAGATAACCCGGGGTTAGTGCGAAATTTAAATTCAGATATTAAGAAAGCTTAAAAAGGAGATTCACTTTTATTCTTTTGGCCTACAATTTGATGATTGGATGCTCTAAAAGGAAGTAGAGAAAAGTAGCCCGGAAAGTGCTTTTGAACAAAAGAAAGAGAAACCTAGGTTAAAATTTAACTCTGGGTTAGCGATAATCGGCCTTCGAACAACTGGGCCCTGTGTTAATAACCAACTGGTTGTCTCCTGCCAGATGGATGTTTTAATCTGTTATGCTCTCTCAATATAAATTCCACTGGAGTATCCGTAAATTATCTAGAAAGCTAAGTGCACTTCATTCACTAAAATTTACCATTTCCTAGACAAACGAAAGAGCAATTTATTGGTACGAGTGTCTTTTCTTCAGGCAGAGAACACTGAATGGTTGTTAAGACAGTTTATAAGCTGAAAAAAAACACCATGAAGGTTCAAACTTATGATGAGCTTCTACTATACTTTAAGTAAAGGTCTTGAAATAATTCTCGTTGGCAAGGCACGACTAATATCTTCTTTCGTTAACCAGAGTAGTATAGTAGGGATGTTTTAAACCCTTACTGGTGGATAGATAACGTGGATAACTTCATAGCCTCTTTTTCTTTTTCATGGATGAAATACGGAGGAATCTCATGAAGATAACGTCACGTTCTATTTTTACGTCGTTTAACCTGTTTGACTTGTTTTTTAGTTATTTTTAGGGCCAGGAATGTCTAGTTTTTTTGCTTGACTAAAAAATAAGAAAAACTGTTACAGTTGATTCATGTTGTCAAAGGAATAAGCGCCTGTTACTTAAAATCACTGAATCGTAAAGTAATTATAAAGGTTTTATTTCCTTCTAACTAGTTTGTTACGGTTCTACCTCACTGCACGTAACGTTGTCTTATTGAGATTCCTTTGTAACAAAAACCAAAATGTTATGTCGTCATTGGTGTTAATGTATTCCTCCTCAAGTTAATTAGATTCCTCCGCGAAAAGGAGGTCTAAAACATCAATTCTATTCTACTAACCAGTGCTACTCAGACCTACATGATATCCCTAACTGTTTTTGATTTTGAAAGTTGATGCGCCTTGGAATGTTATTGCAACTCCATTGAATAACACTGCTATAAAACTGACTTGGCTGCGACCGAAAGTTTCCCGATCAGAGCAGATGGTGAGTAAACATTGATAGCAAGAGTTAGATTAGTAGATTGGTACAGCAGCTCGCGAGGAGAGCTTATCAACTAGTCTTGTTCGTGACGGAAATTACCATACTTAAAACGAACTGAAAGTTAACAAAGAAGAGCAGGAAAAGCGCTACAAAATACACAGGGGTCCATATATATATTAATAAAACTTTTACAAGTGTAATTTACAAGTATAGCTGTTGTTTTTAGACCCTAAAACAATAGTAAACTTGTAAAAATAAAAATAAATAAAATAAATTGACCCCAGGAACTGTTTTCAACCAAATAGCCTCATGTATTAAAAGAGAATCCAAGACATCACAGTCGTACATTCTGGATTCCACGCCGTGGATTTCGGATTCCAGGTACTGGATCCCGGTTCTTTTTCAGTGGAACTTGGATTCCTGATTCCATTCGTTACTGAGATTCCGGACTCCTTGAGCTGTATTCCAGATTCCAAAGACCAGGATTCTAGATTCCACAAGCGAAAATTTCTCGGATTCCAGATTCTGCAAGAAAAAATGTCCCGTATTCGCCCCAGATTCCGCAATCTGGGTTCCCTTAGGCTACATTCATTATGAATACCACAGGCGGGAAAAGGGAAATGGGGGGGATCGTAAAAATTTCTGAAGGTAGAAAGAGGGGATGCCAATTTTTTCTAAAGCAATTGATAAACCACTTCACAGGAGAATTGTCTTATTTCCTCGTTCAATGAAGGATGGTTTTATTACTGTATTGCACTAAACTGCAATGTCCTTTACTTTGTGCAGTAACCAGCCAGCTCAATATCTTTTTGCACCAGTCGTATAGCTTTTCATCTCCTGGCTTTTTTCTGGCTTTTTCTTTGTTTGTCTTCTTTTCACTTGGGCTTGTTCTTTGCTAACCTTGGCTCCCTTACCTATCTAGGGATAATTGCTTTTTATTATTGGATCTATAAGCTGCCACATAGCCCTGGTATGAAGTTCCACCCAACCCCGCCCCCCTTGCAGTATACATAATGAATGCAGCCTTATATGGGGTGGCCCAAAAACAGGGTGATAAATATAAAATGGCGGCGAGCAAATGTTTATGTTATGTCGGTATTCTGCCAACAACATCAAAGCTTTATCATCATTCTCAGCAGGATAGCTATCAGATTCGCCGTTTTTGCTTAATTACTATAACAACTATTTGTACCATTTCATTCATCCAGATGTTCTACATTTTCCGTGGGATCTATCCGAAAGGAGTAAGACGCTGGCCTTTTGGTCGTACCTCCTCCACAAGCTTTGTTATTGGCCATTTGAAAAGTTCTATTACATACATGTTTGCGGTTTCACATGGAATACAAGGGCATAAAAGTGTAACAGCAGATATAAAAATTCTGAGTCATGGTATACGTGAATTTCATTACATTCAGTTGTATTATAATTTGAAGATTATATGTACTAGATCACAGCGGTCCTTAGAGAATCGCTGTTGTATATAGGAAGGATCGTTATACATGATGTCTCGTATCTGCGTCTCGGTATAGTTTTCCCTTATTTTTGCGCCTCGACTATAATACCAGCAGCCAGGTATTACAACAAATGACAATTTCCTGTAGTTCTTAGGTCCTCCAAAATTCAACTGCATGAAAACATGATTGAAAAAGACAGACGTTGACATTTCTGCTGAAAATCTTCGATCTATCAGCCTAGTCCGTGGGTATTCTCTCTTGCCCCGTTGTCCGCGCGAAGTCTGGGAAAGAGCAGGGTGTCTCGGTGACGTCACAGCTCATAGTAGAGTCTAGGGCCGGTTGTTCGAAGCTGGGTTAATATACCCCAGGGTTAGCGCGAAATTTGAACTCAGATATGAGAAAATTCAGTTTAATTCTCTTTGCCTACAATTTGATGATTGGATACTCTAAAAAGAACAGAGAAAATTATTCGAGAGGGCGCCTTTCATAAAAAGAAAAAGAAACCCGGGTTAAAATTTAACCCCGGGTTAGCGCTAACCGGCGTTCAAACAACTGGGCCCTGGATTGACCAAGCCGAGAACGCCTAGGGAGTAGGCTGTCTATCTACGGTATGTCATTGATCGCCCGGGAAACATTTTAGCTAGTGTGGAAAATTGACAGCTGAATTGGTTCGACATAGTATGACGCTAAAAAGACGACTAGTAACGTAGCCATTGAATTTATAAACGACCAACGTGTTGATACAACCAAATTTTTAAGGTCCAACGGTGGTGATATTTACGAGGTTTCACTGTAATTTAGGGCTTACTTGGTTGGAAAAGGGTCGTGATTTCCAGAACGAAATTTCTCAATGTTGAACTATTATTTATCTGACAGAATCAACTCCTCCCTCCAAACAACCATTGTCAACTTCCTCAGAGGCTTCATTGTCGCATGCTCCCACTACTAAACCAAAATCTTCGACCAAGCCACCACAATCGTCATCAGTATCATCTTTATCAACAGTCTCCCAACCGGTGACCACTAACCCAACAACATCTCAATCTACAGTTACCAAACGACCGTCAACTTCGTTGACGCTATCTTCTACACAGCGATCACCATCTTCGGGTCATTCCCAGTTATTTTCTTCATCTGCAACTGCTACTACATCTCGTGACAAGCCACCAATATCTTCAGAGGCGTCATCTTTTTCCACATCCTCACAAGAGGTGCCCACTAACTCATCGCAATCAGTGTCTTCAGGACCCTCCCAGTCTACACCCGCTTCACCGTCAAATCCCTTACCACTGCTTCAAAAAAACAAGAGGTTTCCATACTGGACAATCGGTGCAGCCGGCGGTGGTCTCCTCCTCCTTGTGATAATCGTGATTACGATCATTTTCCTTGTTCGTAGATACAAACGTCGCACTACGGAGGGCGAGGCGATCGATGCTTCAGCAACTTTTCCTCTCAGAGACCCTGTAGAAGGAGTGGATTATGATGATGAAGGTGGGTTCAGGTTTGGGTTAATTCCCGCAGGTAGAAATGATGAATACTATTAGCGGAAATACAAATGTGTTTAGTTGCATGCAGATCAACTGTTCATCTATATAAAACCGAGCTCTGTTGACTGTTACATTAAAAAAAAGAAATAATACTCAGGGACATAACCCAATTCAGAGGTATAAAGTAAGTGCCCTGGATCGAAACGACCGTAAACCCCTAGACTGAGAGCAGTTTCCTTTGCTCGAAAATCTGTGAGCGATTGTGATATATTTGTGAGTACTAGATGCACGCGGCGGAGCCGCTAGCAGCGATTTGTGGTGGTGTCCGCTCAACCTCGCTGCTCGTGGCTTCCTCCGCATAATATCGCAATAGCTCACAGATTTTCGAGCAAAAGAGAGGCTGCTCTCAGTCTAGGCCCTGCGTGAGCTTTCAAGCACTTTTCATTTTGAATCTAATTCACATTTTTGTCCAAAATGATAGACCTTTTTTTATATCTGACTACTTTTTTTTTCTTTCCTTTGTAGAAATTGACACTTCCGGCAATGAGAGGTTCTTGCCACAGCTTGAAGTTTCAGATGAATAACCTAACTGACAATGATTAGTGAGTCCTATCCACAAAAATCGCCGAGACTGTAGTCACAAACATCCGCGACATCTTGTCCCCATCGTATTCTTTTTTCGTCAACCGTTGTCATCCTACCTGTGCCCTTGTCGCTACCCTGTTAATAGGAAAACGTGGGCTAATTTAATTTGCAAGAATGGAAGGGTTAAAACAAAAATTTCACCTTTGACATGAAAGAAGGACAAACTGCTCTTTATTAACGGGGGTTGAATTTTTCCGTGCATCGAATGCGGCTTCTCAGTGGTTAATCCAGGATAATTGAACAACTTCAGAAAGCGATCACATTCAGGATTTTATGACTCTTATATCGATGGAGCTTCACCGCCTGTTCCCGAGAAATTTGCGCGCCTAGCGGGTAGTCTGCTTGCGCCGTATGAAGACACAAATGAACGGCTGTGTAGTAGACTACAGTTGCAGGAAATGAAATTTGCCTGTACTTGAAATTAATATTCATTTCTGCGACGAATAAATATGTACATTATAAATAACTACTGACTCTGCTTTCTTGGCTTATAAGTTCTTCACGAGAAATCTCATCCCGTATCGCCTTGTTATAATTTTGTCGCGAGTGGTTCATTGCGGCCTGCAAACTAGGGTGGCCCATGTAAGTTTTGTGTATATCCTATGGTGTCCGCAATGACCTCGTCAAAGAGACAAACTTGGCCCGAGGGGTGGGGGGGGGGACTCCGCATATGAAAGGGGTGGGGATGCTCGTCGGAAATTTTGAATTAAACCCCTAAAGGAGACCGATCTGGGCGTGGCCCAAGCTTTTTTTGACCCCTAAAAGAGACCATGTTAAAACACAGACAATGTATATATTTTTTTATATTTTTCACGTGCATGGCCTAAGCGAGACCTTCACGGCTAAATATGATGGCGTTTTGCCCAGAACACCCTAAGTGAGACCAAAATCCGAAATTTACACCCCTAAGCGAGACGACAAGCATCCCGACCCCTTTCATATGCAGAGTCCCCCCAACCCCTGGGAAACTTGGCCGGCGTTGTTTTTACTGTTTTTGTGGCCGTTTGGCGATCAAGAAATGCCTTTGATGATACGTTTCGACAAAAAAAGGAGAACATTGAATCAATTTGGACCAGTTGTACTGTTTCAAAATAAGAGCGTAAATCGAGAGAAAAAGAACAATGGTTAGTGCGTCTCTGGCGGTTCCAGGTTTTTAGCGGAAATAGCGGAGGGGGTTCGATGAAAGGGGGCCCTTTCAAGTCCTCGGAAACGCGATTTCCCCATTCTGAGGCAATTGGCTCAGTGCGACGGTGTATTAATTTTGTTGTTATTTATTTCAAAACAATGTATAATAAAACAATTATTAGATTCGGTTTTTGTAATATCCGGAATAATCAACAAAGTCTCGGTAAGTATAGACTGCGAGAAGTCTCTTGCTTTTCTTTGCAAAGTTACTGCACGCGAAACCTAAGCACGCGAGCGGCGCGCTGGATAAGATAAGAACTAGACGGATTTTAAGATAAAAAGGCGGACTGCAAGCAGTCAAAGGTATGTAGGGTGAGTGTTATTTCGGATAACAGTTACCTCGACCCTGACAAGTTATTGCGGATATCACAAAAACCTCATCCAATAACTGTTACAATGTTTATAAATACATATCTTGCTTAGCACACCTCAGATAAAACTCAGATGAAAACCTGTTGGTGTTTTATCTAGTGTTTCATTCGGTATCAAGATTCATCCACCTGATCCAAATGGTCGTCATTTATTGGCTTTTGACTTCATGAATAATTGATGAAGCTATGCCTTTCTAGGCCCTGATGAAGACTAGTTTTGTTTAGTCGAAATATTGGGCAAATAAATTTGTAAATTATCAAGCCTTAGCTGTCCGATCAGCCTTGTCTTCAATTTTAAGTGTTATTTTGTATTGCTGATCCTGCTATTCAACAGGATCTGGCTTTCCCTCACTGCTGTTTGTCCTTGCAAGAATTGTCCGTCCAATAATTGATCAGTTTGAGAAAAGATGTAGCGACATACAAAATTTTGAATCTATTCATAAATAGGTGTACAACTAATAAGTAATTTCATCTGAAGTTTTTAAAGTGGAAATTGCAACCTCGTTCCCAGGTGAGAATATTTGTCGCCGACTACTGAGTCCAGTCCACTAGTTCAATTATATCCTTTTCTTCGTGCGCGAAAGGACTGGATTCTTTTGTGTCAATGGCGTCAGTTTATGGTGCATTTTGGCTGAGCACAAAAAACTTTCAATCTATCCTTTGCAACATAGTTTGCTGTGTAATTGCAGGCCGAATTGCCTCTGTTAAGGTAAGAAATGCTTGACAAGAACATTTTTAAGGATTTGTAGATAAAGCTTTTATTTTCGAAGGCTAAAATTGTCTCGGATTTACCGAAACACCGAAACCTGTGATTCTGTGGAAATCGACTCGATAATCATGGCTTGATCGTTTAGCGAAGGTTTTCATTGTTATCAGCTTACTCCATTTTTATTTAGCGTTGTTCCACTTACTGTCGCAGCAGATATTTAACATGAACACTAAAACACGACATGCAAACTTGAATTTTGCCCAGAAAATGACCTTGTCACGAGTTTTACGACGAAGTATCACGAAACACTCGCTTCATGCACACGCAGAAGCTCCTAACAGAAGAACAGAACAAAACACGTTAAGACACCAAGACACAATTTCCCTCCTATTTACAACCCTTGCACTTTGAATCTTTCTCGAGGTTATGTTCTCTGTGTCATATTTTAAAAACTATTAAAATAAAAGAAGCTGTTTCACCAAGGAGAGTGTGGTGTACATGTGAGGGCATGAGACGTTTTTTGAAACGTTTTTCACAGGCTTCAAGTTACTCCTTGACATTACACTATTTTATGTTTTTTAGTAAATTATAAGTTATTTAACGAGAGTTTCACTTTTAGCCCTGGCTAAATCCATATATTACATGTGTACTCATTGTAGTATTTTTTAAGTGGTATCCGAGCTTCATGAATTATAAATGTCCTTGACTTTGCTTTCTTGTTTACCCTTTGTGTTTTAATTCTAAACTGCTTTAAAGAAATGTATACCTGCCAACTCTCACGCCTGAGGCGTGAGTCTCACGCCTGCGGGTTGAAAACTTCGATCTCACGCCCGCTCACGCCTGCGGACCAATTTCTCACGCCTGATTGAAAAATGTGAGTTGTTGCCGTCTTGCTTGACACAATTTCCAAAAATATGTTAACTCAGACCCATGTAAGGAACGAAAACCATGTGTAAAATGAATAAATGACAATACCTTCCTTGCGATCTCTGATTTTGTGGATAAGCGTTTTCTCGATAACTTCGCCTTCGGCAGACTTGAGACGTCTTCGGAAGAATTCAGACTTCTTCGGGAATCTTCGGAAATGATCGTGTCGTTTTCAAAAATCCGAGCACTCCCAGGATAAAAATCTCACGCCTACATCTCAGAAAAAGTTGGCAGGTATAGAAATGCATCCCTAAGGGCACTACTGACTTGCTTTCCTTTGCTTTAGTGGTGATGGCAGTCCACCATACCTATGTTAGTTACAAGAGTCTCGAGAACTTGGGAAACATAATTACCAGTTACATGTACACAAGGATTAATGGTAACAGATCTTCATAACCTGCATCTACAAGACGACTTATGGGAAAGAAAAGTTTTGAGTGTGATGGTTGCTTCAAAAGTTTCAGCAAATCTCAGTCAACATAATTAAAGAGCCTGCAGACAGGAGATCCTATTATCTGCAGTCATTGTAGCAGAGTCCTTGATCCTTGGAACATTAATCCTGAGAGACATTATATTGTTAGCGCCTTTTATCAGGAACAATCAGTCTGAGACATGTTCTAGGAATTTTAAAAATGTTATGGAGCCAAAAGTTAGCATTGAGGTAGAGCAATAATAATTTTTGCTAAGGGCTTCAGTTCATCATGGAAACTAGTAAATTATTTTATAATTTTAAACTTCCAAAAAAAGATAAAGTTGAGAAACCATTTAAATGTCATTATTGTGGAAAGTGTTTTAGTGAAAGTGGGAACCTGAAGCAGCATATAAGGATACATACTGGGGAAAAGCCTTTTACATGTGACATCTGTGGCAAAAGCTTCAATCAGAAAGGGAACCTCAACAGTCACAAGAAAAGGCATAATAAACAAGATGAAACTTATACATGCAACTACTGTAGCAGGACATTCAGCAAGTCTGGATATCTCCGTTTACATGAACAGGTACATACATGTACGGGAGAGAAATCTTTTGCATGTGATCGGTGTGACCAGTGCTTTAGTCGATTACATCATCTCCAAGAGCATAAAAAAAAAGTTCATGCTTGTGAAAGGCCTTTTGCCTGTAATGTCTGTGACATGAAGTTTACAATGGAAAGAGATCTCTTTGTGCATGGAAAGGTGCATTTGGGAGAGAAAATCGTCTCTTGTGATGATTGTGGAAAGTTGTTTACTCGGCCTGGGGATCTTCGCAAACACATGAGAATACATACAGGAGAGAAACCTTATCAGTGCAATCATTGTGGCAAGTGCTTCTGTGAAAGCGGAAACCTCAAACAACATTTGAGAAAACACACAGGAGAAAAGCCTTTTGTCTGTGAACAGTGTGGCAGATGTTTCAGTCAACTTGGAAATCTTTATGCTCACAGGAATCGACATACTAAAGCATGCAAGAGTATGCCAAATGGTCCCAATCAAAGTGTTACCCCACAGGTAAAACAAGAGCCTTACAGCTGCAATTTGTGTGATGAAACCTTTAGTATGGCTAAAGATCTTTGGATACACAAAAGGACTCATCAAGGAGAAAAACCCTTTTCCTGTAATTACTGTGGGAAGTTGTTTCAAAAGGCGTGGAATTTAATGAAGCATACAAGGACACATACAGGAGAAAAACCTCATAAATGTGATTATTGCGGCAAATGTTTCAGCGAAAAAGGTAACCTTAAGCAGCATATAAGAACGCATGATGGAGAAAAGCCTTTTACCTGTGATCTTTGTGGTAAGGGCTTTAGTCAGCCAGGTAGTCGTAACACTCACAGAAAAAGACACACAGAAGAGGACACGAATTCTGCGCAAATTAAAAATTGCATGCTTAAAGAAGAGAAACCATCAGTAGAAAACCTATTTGGTAATCATTTTAGTGATCGAGGAACCCTTCAAAGTCATAATAGTACAGCTCATTCAGATCAAAACCTCCTTGATTGTGTTGAGTCCTTTGAAGGTACCTTCTCCATCTCAGAACTTTTGGCGGAAGTCAAACTAAAGATACAGGAGTGACATTAACGACTCATTACATGTGATCATTACGTATTTGAGCTTTTGTCTTGTTATTTATCACATTATTTTGTTATTATATTTATTGTCCGTTTGAACTATTTAACAGAGAGTATTTAATAAACAGCTGAGTCCTCAGTGTCAGTTTTTTTTGTTGTCACAGCTGAAACTTTAGTTGGTTACAGACGTGTACTTGTATATACAATTGTAGCTGTTCAATTTTTCCTTTCTAGCTTTTTTATTATTCTTCCACATAGCCTGAGAAAACATGCCATCAGTACATAAATTTCATACTGATGACACTTCAATACCCAGATCTGGTTTTTGTTTCTTAGTAATTGGCTAAAAATGTGCTTCAACCCATCAAAATCACTATTCAGATCTGGGTAGTGATGTGTCATTGGTATGGAACTTTTGTTCTTATTCTTCAGACATTATTTTGTGGGGAAACCAGTATCGGTGTTGCAAAATGTCAGCTTATTCAGTGTTTTCACTGGCTATGCTATGGGGAAATATAATAGTTACTCTGTCAAGGATAAATTTAACTAAGGCAAAGCTATACCTTTAAGGGGTTGGTACTAAAAAAAGACTCTGGGGAACTGCACACCTAGCTACCCCTTCCCTAATGCAACCTCATGACTTTATTTTCACTTGGGGCAAAATGTTGGGTGAAAGGACGAGTAGGTGAGTAGCTTCCCAGAATCTTATGGGCTTCCCTGCTTTAAAACTTGGGAAACTTTTTTGTTGGGTTATAGAGGAGGGCTAGGTGGGCAGATTCCCAGAGACTTATGTTATTCCCTTCTAACTTAGGGCAAGATAACATTGGATTTGGGTAGGGGAAGGTGGAAAATTTCCCAGAATCTTATACTGTTCCCTCCTAACTTGGGACAAGTTAATGTTGTGTTGGGGGAGGGGTAGGTGGACAGTTTCCCAGAATCTTATATTGTACTCTTCTTATTTGGGGCAAAATGTGGGGTGAAGGGAGGAGTAGGTGGGTGGTTTTCCAGACTCTTAGACTGATTGGCTTTTACCAAATTATTTAAATTTTAAATAATTAATAATTTGGTAAAAGCCGATCAGGTTTGTTAACAGTACAAAATGCACTAAGCTTATCCAGGTAGTTTACAGGCACTCCAGTCAAATAATTAGAAACAAGTAATCTAAATAGAACATAACGTTTAAAAACCCAACTGACGGGAGAGAACCAGTTGGCTATTATATTTATAAGCATGGCTGAGGATTAGAACTAAGAATGGCCGAGAACAAATCCAGCAAGTAGTCAGAGTGGGACTTGAACCAAATCAATCCTGCTTTTTTGCAAGTCCAACACACTGACCATTCGGCCACGTTGCCTCCTCACATTCCATACATTTCACATTCTATCTTCTTGGAGTCTATTTTCAAGTGTGTCAATGGGGGATGTTTACCGTCAATTTATTTCTTTGGAGAGTCGTTTTTCTTATTATTTACAATTGGGGGAGGATAAAAACACTCTCCCTTCTTTTTTCACGTAATAAGGTAACAACAAGCTTTACAAGTGCATGCATTGTTCTTTTTCAGTTTGAATTAGTCTTTACAAACCTTTTTATGTATTTACAATTTAGACACATTTGAAAAGTATCTTAAACAATGTCCACAATTTGTGAATCCCCCAAGCCACAGGTAATCCACATCTGGGAGTATGAGATTTCTTATTCTTACACTCGCTGCAAGAGGGAAAGCACAACCTAAAGCAAAGTGGTATCACATTATCCTCTGAGGATCTAAGGGTGTGTATCTTTGGGATAATTGGGGTCAGGATTTACTGTATGATCCCAGATGACTTGGACGATGGTGAATCAAAGGAGCCACTAAATTCCCATCTAAACAAGGATTCATTGATTCCTTTGTGGCACCAAATCTGAGTGATCCTGGTCTGTATCAGCCCAAAGGAACATACCCCAAATGCTATTATTAAAGCCTGCAAATGCAGATGTATTTCCTGCACAGTTTGGACTCCCTGTGCTACAACTTGTATATGTTGCTTAGCAACTGATATTGTTGACAGTAAGCAGCTGCTGGAACAAACAGAAGTGTGAATTTTGCAGACTGGAAGGCTCCAACAGTTGTGTGACTGTACCGTCAGTCAAGAGCAGACAAGGGGAATATAAAGGCTAGCCTTGTTAAAGTACAAGTAAGCCATTTCCAGAAGTGTCTTTGGCTGCTTTTAAGATATTTCTGAACAGTATAGAACTGGTGATCAGACAGTCCACTTGAGACATCTTGTGTCCTGATGTGTTCCTAGACATTTCACACAGCAATACCTTGCTCCACAAGAAACACATGTGTAGTTTGAGGGAAATGTATGAACCAGTCAAGGAAGTACAAACAAAACCAAACTCTGGTTAAGTTCATCTGTGAAACAGCTCCGAAATCCTTGTTCCGTGCCCCCACCAGTGTACCACCATGTTTAGCCTGTTAAAAATGCCAATATCGATTTGCCAATCAAGATGAAAGGAAATGTGAAATGTACTTCTGGAAATTTGTTGAGTCTGTTGGAGGCCCAGAAAAAGGATATTGGTGCTGCCAACACAATAATAATTTACAAATTTACTATAGGGCCTTTATAAAACATATAAATGATCAAAAGCACTTTAGAGTCTGCTTTGCAGGCATTACTAACCCAGGTTAAATTACATCTGCAACACAGGCTAGTCATTTTATGATAAGACCTTTGAAGTATTAATGTATTAATTTTGATGTATATTGTGACCTCCTTAAGCTTGCTGCTTGAATGTAAAATCTAAGTCTACTTCCCTTCAATGGGGCTATGTTTTGCTGGAGCCATGGAAATATCTTTGATAATGGTTTAAAATGCTTTTAAAAGGATATCCACACACAGAACAGAAGTGTCTTTCTGGAAATTTAGATGGTGGAACATTGGCTGAGGAATAGGATGGTTCACCAACTTCAGATTCCTGTTCCTGGATAAAAATGGACATTTATTTAATATCATATTACATGTAGTAGATATTGCAGTCATGCATATGGCTACAGTTAATTTTGGAAATCAGCCCTACAGCCTGCTGTACAGATTAGTTTAGTTATAGCTGCTAGCATAAGTTACAGGAAACTGGCTAATCTGTAGGTTACACATGGAAAGCATGATTTCCAAGAACAGCATTTGTAAGAGGAACCATGCAGTCCACAGTCTGCTATTCTAAAGTGAAATCTTTTCTCCTAAATTTAATGTTCTTCTTCTAAGGTTGGTTAAATAATGACTTCAGAGTTAAAAGAATCATTGTTACTTACTGCCTCCTCTAGTAGCATGGTAAACGTTCTTCGAAATCTCTGCAATAATTAGATAAAACAAAAGAAATGATAATATTGTTAATGCCCCCAGAAAAATTAAGTAATTTATGCACTGATTATTATTATGCATACATGTACAAAAATGAACACACAATACTGGCACAATCTTCAAAACTTCATGAAGCGATGACAAAAGTTGCAGATCCTATATATGTCACACGTTGAGTTTGAAAGTTCCCTAAAAACTATATCCACTTCCACTCCCTTACAGACTTGTAAGTTTATAGTCGTATTGTCAACTGAAATGTGCTGAGCATTAACTTATATTATTTTACAGACCTGTTTAAACAGCTCTCCTGTTTTTGATCTCCTTTTCTTTCTTTTATCTGTGAACAGTGATATAAATTATGACAGTTATTCACCAAAGTGTGGACAATTGAGGTGAAAATGATGGTTTTTAACTCATTGATTGCTGCCAACGATTACAATTTTGGCACACAATTGAGGAAACGGCTGTCGTGTTTTCTTGCCCATGTAATAATTATGTAATATAAACTTTTGAAGACATTTGACTAGCGGTTGTGGGGACATTTTTTCAAGAAGAGTTGTAAATTCTTTCTGTATTTGAAACCATTCAAAAAAACCATTTCACTTAGTTTTCAAGTTGTTAATTATAATTATGAACTTGTCAGCTACATGAAGTAATGCAAGACTTACTTCGCATTTGGAAAAAAGAAACTTTTTCACTGATAAATTCTAGGTTAAACAGATCAGACAAAGCTTCACCCATAAAAATGCCATTCCGGATTTTGTTGCCTTCTTCATGAACATTTTTCGGGAATAGCTTCTTCATTTATTTGTGAAATTTCTCCATTTGTTACAGTAGCAACCTGAGAAGCCATTTAGCTCATAACTACGCCAGTTTGGCATCGCTTGGAGCCTGAAGGTGAATCAGTAAATAGCACTGGATATCCCAAGTCAGAGCATGTAAAAAACACTATCCACTGTTTTAGTACTAAAGTTTAGTATTGTTAAGGGCACTGTTTTTTGGTGCAAAAGATGGGAATACAAGTGCTAACTAATTACCTGTGAGGATGCAGGTAGGGGCCAAAAACGTCAACTAATAATGTGTTTTTGATTGTAGCTTACACTTTTGCAACCTCCATAATAAATTATTACCTTCCATGGTATCATTGAAAGCAGGGACCTTCATTTTGGCAGGGACCACTGTCAGGTGAGAGTGAGGATCTTCTTGAAAGTTATCCTTTTCCAAGGCCTCAAGATGGCGCTTTTGACGGCGTTTTCGTGTGGCATCATCAAGAATTCTTCTACTTGAAATGTCTTTTATTCTCCCTAATAAAATGAATAACAAATTCACATCTTCTATAACCAACTTTCCAGACAATGGGTGCAGGAAAAATGCCCTTTGCAAATTATAATGAACTTTCAGATTCTACTTTCAAATTGACTTTATTTGTATGTTTTGTCCATGGCAAAAATAAAATAAAAGTTTTTCCATCATATCTTAAGATGGAATCCATTAGAAATTGAGTAAGTTCAATTTTCAGTGGCAAAAACCTTGTTATGGTTGATACAGCCAGGGGTTTTTGAAATTTCCTGCCTTTCCCCAACGTTTTCCCGACAAATGTAAAATTTCCCCGACACACTGTATTAACAATTTCACACATCAGACCTGATGATGGACTCAACCCTCCTCCCCTCACAGCTCCCCTCCACCTATATATTGATCTCCAACAACCACTACCTAAAACAAAATAATTTTCTCAAGCGTTCATTTTCTTATCAGGGTGCAATGGCTTGGAACCAACTGTCAAATGAAACACGTGAGATGGGGGATCTTACTAGCTTTAAACTCGCCATATCTTAGGAAATAACTTTTTATTATATTTTTATCTTATTTCTTAAATACTCATTTCTTGCTGTTATATTGTATTGTTAGTTAATCACTAGTCTTAATTTTTATAAATTGTAATTATTACACGGCATGTCTGAAAACCAGCTTGCTGAGCCATTTACCGTGTTTAAATAAAGTTGACTGATTGATTGATTGATATATACTTATGCTTTCAGCAAGTCACATGCAGTACACATCAGGGTTTTTGGTGGCATTTGGAGGTACAGGATGCAGAGGTTCAGCTGGCAAACTCGCACCATTTGCACCATTTGTGCCACATGTGCTAATGTCGAGTGCTAGAGTAAAAAACTTCCAGGGGGGGGGGGTCGGGGCATGGTCCCCTAGGAAATTTATTGGACTCTCTAAAATGCAATTTCCTGCATTCTCTGGATCAGAATTGGTTAACCAGGATGGTATTTTAAGGCATTAAAAAATGCTCACAAAAAACGAAATATTTGATTTGGTGATTATAACTGTTGGTTTGCAGTTATTTGTTTTTTCCTTTATTAATAAATGAAAAAAAAGGGAATGATTTTCACACTTCGAATTATTATTTTGTGTGTGAACTACCGAATGTTACATGTCAAACAACCAGACATGTGTCTGGTGCCCGGCTTGGAACAAAACCCCCGTCAGTACATGAATTGAGCTAGTTCATTTACATGAGGTGCAAAAAATTGATGTTCTTTTAAAGCCAACATCAGCTTGTCATTCAATTTCATAAACAAAATTCTACCAATACAACATGATTCATGTCTGTAAAATGTACAAGATAATTTTCACATTAGAAAACAGCCAAAGTAGAGGGAAAAGAATAAATATGTACTCTTAAAAATTTCCCTTTTCCTTGTCTTCTTTCAAGCATTTAACTTTTCCCTGACTTAAAGTGAAATTCCCTGACTTTTTCCTGACCTTCAAGAATACCCTGACCATTTCCTGACCTATTGTAGCTGTGGAAACCACGTTTGTACTAGAATATTTCAATAATTATATTGCATTCCTTTGGACACTTTTCAAGGGCTATAATTTATTGTAGTAGGTTATATGAAAAACCTCAAAATAAAAGGTTCTTATGGTAGCCTAAGATAACAAACTTCAAAAGCTTCAAATTTCACAAAAGGAAATCTTACGCATGACTATTTTACCTGATTTTACATCTGTTTTCTCAATGCCTGTGAAATTATTTGAAATTTATTTTCTCGGGCTTCCATAATAACCTTTTCTTTGGAGTTTTTTTCATATAACTTATTACCTTTGTAGCCCTTGAAGAGTGTTAAAAAAAAGAGTGCAATCTGGCTTAAAGTATTCTGGTACACAAGCTTTATTTTTTGTCCACTGAAAATTAATTTTAATTACTAGCTACTTCACGCACATTATAACACGATGTTACTCAAAACAGGTACACTGGGCTCTCCAGAAAAAAAAATGTCACAAATTTACTAAAACTGTCGGTAGAAAAGGTTCAATAAGATGTAAAATCAAACTATTTTTTCGAAAGTGAAAAAACATACCTGACTCCCTTCTATCCGCCATCTTGAAACATAACTAGCGCCAGTCCCCAGCCGGTCTTCGCATCATACGCCTGTCTAGAATTGCAACAATGGCTTGTGTGAATCAACAGTCGTTCAAATTAACGCGTGAAAATTGGCTTGAAGATCATCCGAAATTCAAGGAAATACAATCCCTCGGTTACTTTAATGAAAAATCTTCATTAGCAAGAGCGGTGATAACAGTTTATTTAGATCTTTGCGAAAACAAGCACTGGTTTGGTGTTTGCATTCGTCCCTGCGAATCACTGAAATTAGTTTACATAACAGGAAAAAGAACGAAGAAATCTCAACTTGATGTTGTAGTTCCACTTACCATAGACACAGCTTTAACAGTGGAAGAAATTCAGGACATTTTACAGGAAGTCAATAGATGTGAACAAGAGGGGGAAGACGCGGAAATGGAATCGAGTTGCGCAGGCTCACGAGTGACGGTTGCCTTTTGTGAGACGGATTCTACAGTGGTTTATTACGACTTTTTTCAAGGACTTGTACCCCCGGATCCACCAGACGAGGAAGAGGAAGAGGAAGAGCAGGTTAAGTCAGTGCGCAAAAAGGTCAGGCAAAAGAAAGAAAAAACTCATTCCAAACTCGCAGACTGATCTGATAAAAGCTTTACATTACTGATTTCATAGGCGTACGGGCAATTTTTTGCCAGGGGGGGTGGAGGGGGGGGGGTAAACCATTTGCCCAAAAATATCTTGCAAGTTGCCCAAATTTTTACAAAACAGTCGAAATGAAATGAGGGCCATACGATGCAACACCATAGGCCGTACTGGCATATGATATGAAAGTGGCTCGATAGAGTATTTCAGGACAATACCTGCCAAGTTTGAGCATAAAATACGTCGCCATAAATAGACATCTGGAAAAATTGCCACCACAGTTGTATTAGATAAGGATGAAAATTTGTCATGATCAGGGTTGCAATGACATCGGAGTTGTAATAGCAACAAAATGACGCCATTACCTGTTATACTTGCTGTAATATTTCTCACCGGCAACTGTTCTTACAAAATCGTTCACGGGAGCTTTTTCCTCCATAGTCGCCGAATTGCTCATAAAGTTAAAACGGAATCTGTAAGAGCAGTATTGAGATATTTTGGGATGAAGTTTATATCGTTAGAAATACGGTAAAAAAGGGAAATCTTGGCCATCATCTGTAGGAAATGAAGCACTTTTGACATGCAATTTCACCTCATAGTGGTTTCAATCTTTTCAAAAAATTATGTGTGTGAAAGATCATGGAGATAGCTCTGGCCAATTGCTACAAAGAAGGATTTGATTAGTATATATCATGGTGCTCTTGTTAGCTGTTTTGTAAACATTTCCATCTACAAATAAACAAATTAGTGAATAATTTTTAAACCGCTTGATAGATTTTTTAAAAAATATTAAGATTCTTCTCAATTCAAACTGAGAATTAGTCAGCAACTTCTTCACTTTCAGACCCATTGCTGATGCTATCTGCCATACACTGTTCTCCGAGCAGAGATGATTCTAAGTTATGCAGAAGTTGATTACAATAAAAAAAATCAGCATATGATACCCTTCCCTTATAACCAGAAATTAATCATGTGCTAGGCAACCACTGTCTCATGTGAATGTAACTGGATTATTATGCCGACTTCGGGTTAAAATAGAAAATATTTATCTCTTCAAAATAATAATTTAAAAAAAAACATGGAAACGTCTTAAAAACTGGCTCTGCCCAAATTTTTTCTTGCTGCCCAAAAAATCTGAGTTGCCCAAAATTTGGGGGGCTGCAGCACCCCTGCCCCCCCCCCACGGCCCATACGCCTATGATTGCTTTTATAGAATAATATTTTTTTGTTCCCTGTGAGCTGGTAGAGGCTACTCTTTCGCGACACGTGTTTCTGTGTATTGATGTGCGAAAGGCTACCTTTGCTTACGATCCTCCTACTCTCTATCAAATGCTTTTTTAAGCCAACATTTGAACTGGCAACCCTGAATCTGGGTATTGAGAAATGTTGCCATCTGAGAGAAAACAATTCGACATCTTCGCTTTGGTCCTTGCAATTACAAGATTATAGACAACACTCAAGTTATCGGGTATTCCTTCAGGTAATCGATCATGTGGATATAGACAAAGGAAAAGCACATCTCCTGGACTTGTAAATAGGGGTCGTGCTATTGATATGCTTGAAGTCATTAATTTAACAAATCCCGAAGAAGCCAAGAACCTCACGGAACTTTTCTTTGAAGATGAACTTAAACTGGACTTAGCTGACCCACGCTTTAATAACTGACCCGAATATTTCATCGTCAGTTTGCTAGAAAGCGTAGAGAAAGTGCAGTGTCAATCGGTTATGGCATAGACGACGAAGCTACATGCATTGACAAGAAATCCGGAGATTTTCCAATTGAATGCAAACACCGTGAACAAAGAACTTGCGAAGCTGAATAATCATGGAGGACTTTTCGAAAAATTACCACAGTTCTCTTAACTTGAATCCAAATATTTTCAAGTGGCCAACTCCAAGCCAAAAACATGACGAAATAGTAACTTAACTGGAAGGAAAAAACTAACTTTGTCTTTCAGAGAACAGACTGAGGTGGCCAGGCCCAGGAGAAGACAATGAAGAGATGCGAAAAAAAATCCGTGAATGCCTTCAGGCTACGCCGACAAAGCCAAGAGAATTGCTTAAAACAAATTATATTATAAATCATTTACTCTCACATGCTCAACAAAGATCTTACCCTATTCATGCAGACTGCACAGAGTCTTTCTCGATCGAGTTCGCCAAAATCGAGCTAGCCAAAGAAAGGTTCACGGGCCCAATGAAAAAATGTTGGAAATTTGATTACTGTGAAACAGATTTCAGTGGTAAACTAAAGTGTTTTTTGTGCAACTTGACTAGAGATGATAAACGTGAAGTTTCTAACCCGCTATTTGTTTTTAATATGTTTTCTCAAATTTGTGCGCAATGATTAAAGATACAAGATAATTATTCTCCACAGAAAGGTTTGAAGCTTTTATTTATTTTGTTCCTTCGGACTTCTTACTTTAATTTATTCCGCAGAAGCTGTTGGAAATAGGTCGAAATATGGCTATTGTTCTTTGAAGTTGCAAGCTAATTAGTTAGTCAAGTTTTATCGAGTCGGAAAAATTTATTTCTGAATGCGTTCGCGTTAATTGTTCATTGTTGAACTGAAATTGCGGGTTTTTCTCACTGTATTAATTTTTTTTTAGATCGAAGTCCTATGCGTATTTTGATTGTAAATTGGTAATTATCACCGGGAAATCAGGTGCTGAGAGTCAAAATGCTTTCTTTGCGACTTATTGACAAAAGTCGCTTTTTTCAACTAGCAAATTTTTTCTTCACAAGTTTTCTTAACTTTCTCTGCCTTGATGATGAAGAATCATTGTTTTTACTACCCCAGCACTTTTTAATGTATCCTGAAGGAGCTGGTGGAAATACAACAATTGTCAAGTTTGAAGTCTAGACTCATTCAAAAGCTAGTTTGGTCATCGATTTCTGAAGTTTTAATCTAGTCGGCAAACTTTCCTTCTGAAGGCGTTCTGTTAAAGCGTTAGTTGCTCAGTGATGAATCTGAACTCAGGTAATTGCGTGCTTTTGTGAATAAATTCAGGGGCACCCAACGGCAATTTTCGGGAAAATATCTGTTCGGAAGACGATTTGAGATCTAGAATTTTCGGAGCATTTGTTGTAAAATTTCTTGCTTGCCTGCCTCTCCTAGGATTTTCGAACATCTACAAAATGGTATAATTACCCATTTTTAACGGATTTTGACCCTAAAAAAGGCCACCTAGAATTTTCGGCAGCCTTTTCCTGGCTGAAATTTTCGAGAAAGTAAGTTTTTATCCCTATAATTTTCGGATCACTAGACTTTCAGCTAGGAAATCCGAACAGATGAAAAGTTTTTAGGGGATAAAAATATGCCTATATCTACCGTTTGAATACTAAAATACGTTCAACAATGCTGTGTTAAGTGGTTTTGAACTATATCCTCGTTGGGTGCCCCTGTAAATTGTCAAGCCTCATTAATTAACCTTGGTGTTTTTTTTAGTTATTTTATATCAGGGAATTCCCTTGCGTATCCATTGTTTTCGCCTGCAAGAGCCATGTTACGTAATTCCCGAGAGTCGGCAAACTTTACTCTTTCAATGTGACCAATCGAAAGCGTTGATTGCCCATCGTTCAACAAGGAGTGCGATTTTTTCTCAAATACAGTTTCAAGAAAAGACAAAAACAAAAAACATTTCTCATGCTTGATTGAATTTTAATCGAGCGATCGTATAAATGGAGACACCAATTTCAGGCGATTAAACTGTTTGTAGCTTGAAACTTCCGTACCTTGCCTGGTACAGCTGTGAAGACCACCGAAATCAGCGAGGAGATCTTTGGCCTGCAATCACTGTCTGGATTCACCGCCTCCTCGAAAATGCCAGGTTTGTTCTTGGTCTTCTTCGTTCAACTTCTACTTTTGCCTAAGTCAACCTTCTGTTTACATTTATCGCTGATAATTAATCAGATTGTGGAAACGGTTTAAAGAGCTATAATTTTTTTATGGTTCTGAATGCTTTTTTTGTTGAAGAAAGAATTAAATGATACTTTTAAACTTAACCCAAATGATTTTTTTTTTTTTTTTGGGGACTAAGTGCTCCGCCCAAGGGGGGAGAGCCCTGGGGACTAAGTGCTCCGCCCAAGGGGGGAGAGCCCTGGGGACTAAGTGCTCCGCCCAAGGGGGGAGAGCCCTGGGGACTAAGTGCTCCGCCCAAGGGGGGAGAGCCCTGGGGACTAAGTGCTCCGCCCAAGGGGAGAGCCCTGGGGACTAAGTGCGCCCAAGGGGAGAGCCCTGGGGACTAAGTGCTCCGCCCAAGGGGAGAGCCCTGGGGACTAAGTGCTCCGCCCAAGGGGAGAGCCCTGGGGACTAAGTGCTCCGCCCAAGGGGAGAGCCCTGGGGACTAAGTGCTCCGCCCAAGGGGGGAGAGCCCTGGGGACTAAGTGCTCCGCCCAAGGGGGGAGAGCCCTGGGGACTAAGTGCTCCGCCCAAGGGGGGAGAGCCCTGGGGACTAAGTGCTCCGCCCAACGACTTGGACAAATTTGCAATTATCGCTGGAGAAGCGACAATTGGCAATACGTCTGTGTTCGCAGGCTAGGTGTTGGGATCTGAAAAGGAAAAGGATTTGATGTTTAACTTAAATCCCCAGGGTCTTTCCGTTAGAAAAACAGGAACAAGGTTCTTTCATGTTAACTATGGTGTTAACTTGATTCTATGAAAATGAAACTTTATTTTTTTTCAACCAGTCATTTCAGAGAAGGTTTTATTGGTCTTATTCAACTTACCCTTGATACAGAACAATGTTCATGGGGGAGAGTTCCTTGGGTGCTAATCAACCCCATTCCTCAATTTGGAGGGAAAACCCTTCCATACAAATCCAACATCCATCACGTGTGTCCTTTTTAAACAAGGGTAATTATCCCAGTAGACCTTGGTTTAAAAACGCATTCGTTATTTGCATGTGCTTTAATATTTACATTGTTTTTTGGTGTCATTCGTTTACAGCTCTATCTTGCCTCAACAAGTAAGGTAACCCTGGCAAGTGAGACTGCCTCACACCCGGGGGGGTACTCCTGGGAATTCTTGGTGGGGGTGGATGTGCCGCCCGGTTCTCTAAATCCTGACCCTTTTTCAGATTAAAAATGTCATTTTTCACACCCGTTTTCAGACCTGGCCTCTAAATGTATACCCATTCTCAGACCTGGTCGTTAAGAGATTATGTCATCATTACATAGATTAGAACAACAACAAAAAACATTTCTTAGAATCCATTTCGAATTCGTATATTTTTCTCTCTTTCTTACTCATTTGGAACTGAAACAATAAATACGTACATATACGCCCGTTGTTCCCTTGAAAAACATAACCGATTCCAGACCAAAATGAGCAAAGTGTATATCCGTTTTCAGACCAAAACGGCGGAAAGACCCTACCCTTTGGTGCAGCACATACTTATATGGCTTATATAGGGGAGTACCCCCCAACCCACTCCCTCTCGGGTGTCTCAATTGGCTGGAACAATAAGTTAACCCTTTATACCTTTTCATTACGTTATCTACGCTCTCCATAGATTTCACCTGTTTCTTGTGGCATTGAAATTCTTTATTACTAAAGTTACATTTCACTAAAACTACAAATAACATTTACTACACTTTGATGACAAGTACAGTATAATACAACTTTGGACCAAACTCATTACAATTTGATACGTAAGAATATTTTCTTCCCCACCAATGATTTGCAGATTACCAAAATAAAATTACTACTAATCTGCCTAAAAAAGATTACCTTTTAACTGAGAGCACCGTGTAAATTAAATAAGTCCTGTGATCCAATAAACGAAAGCTCACTTGTTAAATAATATAATCCTTCCTTAGATGAAAAAAAGAAGACCTATCTTAAATTCTATGGAAATCACTTTGGACAGAAGTGTCACCAGAACTATGTTACACTTCAGTTAACACAAAATCCATAACTTAGATCATAGTGGCGCCACAAGACTGAAAATCAAATGGGGTATTTTTAAAGCTTTCTCTTTACAACACAAGGGGAAAAACATAGGAATTCTACCATGTCAACAATTTAATGTGTTTGAAAAAAAAAATCATGGTAAACATTAGTTATTTAAACTTGGGATAAATGAACCCTACAATAGACGCCAAGAGCTTGCTGGCAGCCTACCAATAGCTGATATTGACGACCTACTGAAAGATTAATTTCACGACAGATTTCATCTTTGATGAAAATAGTGTTTTAATAATAACAACAGTCAAGCCAGGTCAAGCATACCCTCCAAGAGACCATTAATGAATTTATTATTAGAAAGTTGAATTCGTTGGTACAGATTTCATATTCATCTCTGCATTCCTGCATGCGTCATGAGCAGTGAATTCACATCAAGGTAGTTATGAAATTTATACCACCTCAGTTTTCTTGAAATTGATGTAAATGTGTTCAAAGCAATTAATTTTTGTCCATTCAAAGATTTTCAAATCTGACCGAATAAAGAGAAGTTATCTTACAAAAATGGCTGCTTTTCATGCATGCAGGAATGCAGATTTGAATTCGTTACTGGGTGCGACAACAACTAACAGATACATTTTTCAAATAATTGATTTAGAAATGGAATCTATGGGAGTACACTAGACCTGACGTGACTTTAATTAATTGATAACATTAATAGTTTGCTATTATATCTTCCTGGATTAGTAGTGGCCTGCAGAATAGCCAGATAAGGGTGGTGCTGGAGGGTGTTGTTGAACAGGGCCTGTTTGGTAATAGTTTGTCGGCTGTCTGCAGTGCTGCAGAGTACTATAATGGTTCGGTTGCTGTGGTGCATTGTATGCTACTGGATATCTAGGTGGGGCTTGTTCGGCCTCCTGGGACCTTCTCTGACGAACAAGAGTCTGCAGGTCTTTGAAATGGCGCCTTGTTATCTCTCCTAAGTCATCAAATACTAAAATGGAAAAAAAAAGAAAAACCTGTTACAAAAATAGAATAAACCTTTTGTGTACAAGTACCATGACAGTCATTAAACACGAAAGGATTTAGCAATGGTGTATGAGCTGCATATTCAGTCTATGTTTCCTTTTCTTTTAGCAACTTTATCATTGTTTATACATGTTCTTCCTTTTTCTTCATAGCTCCACCCTTTGACCCACATACAGCCCACAATTCTTTACTTCACTCTAATGAGAGAGCAGGCTGGTATTCAAACGGCCGAATTACTTTTATATCAGTAACTTAGCCAACAAAACCAAATTTGCGCTCCACTGTCCTACTGTTACTGACTTTTTAATCTGTGGCGAAAGTCCCACAATTTTATCATTCAAATGAAACTCCAGACCTTTTACATGGCACCATTAACTTCTTAGGATTTAAAAAAGAAACTTCTGGAATTTTTTTTTTTTTCCTACACTGGCCACTAGTGGGAGTGAAAGGGCATTATGTTCAGAATGATGGAAATGGTTGAACAGTAATGTACCTCTTGCATTGTAAGCATGATCCCCAGATGCGACAACTTTCTGTAAGAAATGTGCCATGGCACCTGTTGCGATTACTCTCTGTGCAAGAGGTAGTCCTTCAAAGTACTTGAAGTCAACAGCAAAGGGGTTCAGTGGAGAAGGATACATGCAGAGTTTTACAACCTCAGCCATTATGTCCCAGAGTTTGGTATCTGAAAGTGAAATATTTAAATCATTGAGCCAAAATGAATGCAAACAAGGAAAACATCAACTGTAGTGTAAACAAAAAAACATTTTTGCAAAGTATTTAAGATGGAATCGACCAGGAAATTGAGTAATATTAATTTTCAGTGGACAAAAATCTTAATACCAGAATAATATTGAAACAATTATCGCATTCTTTTTCACATTTTTCAAGGGCTATAGATAATATATAGATTTAGCCAGGGCTAAAAGGGAAGCTCTGGTTAATAATACGTGTAAACAAAAAAAATTAAATCGTGTAACGCTAAACGGGGGACGACAATGTAAATGGCTTCAAGAGTAATAGATCTAATTAGCAAAAAAACAAATTGCACGTGCAGCACACTTTTTCCTCTAATTAGCAAAAAGCAAATTTGCACGTGCAGCACGCTTTTCTGTCTTTCCCTTGCCGTTGTTTTGCACGACTACAACACTGTTTTGTACGAGTAAAACGTCAAACTTCTTAGTTACACACTATTTTTATGGAGAAATTGTCGTATGTGCCTACCCAATATTTTGTTTCCGGTGTTCATGTTCGCTTTTATTTTTCACTGCCGCTCATTTTCACCTTGCTGGCCGCTAGCATTTCTCATTTTCTCACCGCCGCTTTGAATTTCCATGTTTTTCTTCCAACAAATTTTCAATAACTCGCTCTAGCTTTTTCTTTGTTATCCACGTTAGTGTACACATAAAAAATAACGCCGAAAAAGACACGACTTTTTTCTTTCTAAAAGTGCGTTCGGCCATGTGATTTCCTTACAAATAAAACCTTGAGTTGCATTTGGGTTCCCATACCTGTTGATTGACTTATTTTACATTGATATCCCTGTGGTGTGGACAGACGGTCGTACGGTCACGTGATTACCAAATTTTCTGGGATGGATAGATTACCACATTTCCTTAGCTATGGGGCTCCGCCCACGCGCGTGCTTTGCGCGCGGGTGGAGCTCCGCTATAACTACCGGTAGTTATCTTTAATAACACCAAAGACTAGTTCTCATGGAAGCCTGAGAAAACAAATGTTAACTTTTACAAGAAAACATAGGTAAATTCTGAAAAACTCATGTGTGAGATGTCATGTTGTGAAATTTGACATTTACTTTCTTGGGCTCTCATAAGGATTTTCTTTGGTGTTATTACAGATAACTCATTACATCTATAGCCCTTGAAAAATTTAAAAAAGAATGTGATATTGTTTAAGTTCTGGTACAAGGTTTTTGTTCACTGATAATTAAAATTAATACTCAATTTCATGGTGGATTCCGTCTTAATGTCCCATCGAACAGAGCTGTCAATTGAATTCTGAAGTACCCAACTAGCAAATGAAGATTCACTCTTAACATCTCACAAAAACTTATAGCGTAACCTTTTCAGTAGCTTTTCACGTTGATCACCCGTAACATCAAGTAAGCTCAGCTGTAACAGGTGTTAGTAGTTTTGGCCATTAATGACAGCTCAGTTCTAAATACCAGAACAATCAGTGAAAATCAAAACTCAATAACAGTAGTCAGAAAACAGCAGGCTTTTTACTACAAGCAGACACCTCAGGTACATAAAGTGGATTTTATGATTTGTTTTTTCATGATGCTGTATTTATGACAATTCAACAAAGCCACTCTCACTTAGTCTGATTATTTACTTAAAAACTGAACATGTAGCTTCTTTTTTACCTCTCTGTTTCCACCCTGCTGTGGACTTCAGTTTCAGTGGACTATCTTTCTGTTTCTCCTTGCTGCTGGAGTCACCTTCAAATGTCACCAGTCTCTCATGATTTGACCTCACCTGCAATAGTTTATAAATAGATTTAGTACTAAAACAGTGGATAGTGTTTTTTGCACACTCTGATTGGCTACTCAGGATATCCAGTGCTACTCACTGATTCATCTCCAGCTCCTTCGAGTAAGCGAAGACAAACTTGTGTAAGTTACGAGCAAAATGGTTTCCCCGTTTGCCGCCATAACAAACAAAGCAATTGAATCACAAATTTAATAATTAAACAAGCTGTTCCCGATATATACCAGGAAGGTGATGAAAATCGGTTTGGAAGCTTTAAAGGTAAAGCGTGGTCTGTTTGACTTGAATTCATCAATGAAAATGGTTAAAACTTTTGTGTTCACAAATGCAAATTAAGTCATTGCATTAATTTATTTAGCTAACATGTTCATAAATAAGATTAAAACTAAATTTAATAGTTTTTTACAGAATAGGTTCAAATACAAAAAGAAATTCATAACTCCTTTTGAAGACATTTCCCAACAATGGCTGAACAAATGCCTTCAAAAGTTTTATTTTTCAGCGAGAAAACGCGACAGCCATTTGGTCATTTGTGCGCCAAAATAGTAATAAGGCAGCAGTAAATGAATTAAAAACCATCATTTTTGTGCTCAGTTGTCTCACTTTTTTGCTTCACGGCTTTGTATATAGTCACCACTAGCCACTCACACTGAGGTGAATAATAATTACGCCACAGCCAAAAGGGAAGCTCTTGAGGGATCTTTTAAGAAAAGTCTTTCTCAAGTAATTCAGCTTTTGCCATAAGCAGGAAGCAAACTGAATTCCACCTTATATCCTCATATAATCTAATTATTTGTGAAACAGGGGAAAGTAATCTGAAGAAACTTGCAGTGCTTTGGAAAACAACCAAGGCCATCTTAGGCTCTGACTCAGGTTCTTTGTCTAACTAAAATTAATTACACTGCTTACTACATTGTACATTAAGTCACACAACAAGCCAAGGAATGGAGGAGATTTAGGGAAAACAATGCACCACATACATCAGATGTAAAATGATTTAAGACACACTCACCCATACATAAGGACAATTGTATCGAGCATACGCAGCAATAAGAAAAAGTGTTGATTTGTCATCCTGAGAAAAGATGATTACACATTTAAAAATAATGTACACAACAACAATAAAACTACGGTGTTATATCTTTGGCAGATGGAAATTTGAAAAGTGAATGATTTGATGTTACTATTTCCTTATCTATGATTTAACGTTACTGTACAAAATCTGGGGGTGTAGAATGGTAAATTCGAGACATTGTGAGACCCAGGTTCTAAAATTTGAGACCAAGACTTAGTAAAAAATTTGAGACACCGAGATGCAAAATTACCCCAAAACAAGATTTTGACTGAGATTTGGAGATCAGGCCAAAATTTTCTGAGACCCATGTGTTTTGAAGATTATATAATATCCATTCTATACCCTTACAGTGTATATCTGGCGCAAAGAAAACAAACTATTTATATATAAAATAATTAAACCACCTGGTAAGGAAATTTTCAGACCACCAATATGACCTATTGTACATGTTATGCATACAATATTATTAATAGATATTACTGTACTGTATCCTGGATTCTAAGGCTATGAGACAAAAAATTCATGAATTCAAACAAAAGAAACTTGAGGAGGAATATCGTGTTGTTTAATGAACCGAACAAAAGGATCAAGGCAAATGTTGCAATGAGGTAATTAATAGATTGATCTTTACTACTTCATGCCTAATTACAAACTGAATTGTTTATAATACTGCCTTCATGTACAATAGGTCATATTTCAATCTATACGTGAACTCAACTTTACCTTTAAATCAATATCTTTGTCACTGGGACTCGCTGGAGGAAGACCAATGTCCATGAAGCCATAACCACTTAAACTGTGACAGAAAAGTATTGGAGAGATACAGAATCAGGTTTATGACAAATGGCAAATGTGAGATTCAAGTTGACAATTTCATAAAAATAGGAAATTCAATTGGTCAGGTAACTGTGCAAACTACTTATTTAATATTATTCTTACTGATAAAACTGGCAAAAAACTGCTATCTGTTTTGTGCAAATGTAATTATATTAATGAACAGTGAACTGACAAGAAAAAACTTGGTCATGTCAAACAAACTGACATTTGCCATTATATGGTTTACAGTAACATTATTCTAAATCTCTCTATTTCTACTTGTTACATGGTAAATCATACTTGCGATTTCAAATCAAAACTCGCGGCGTGCGCTCGTTCGATTTTGAAATCATGCATATGATTTTGGACCAAACTGCACTCAGTTCAATTTTACCATTATATATGTGCCTCAGTTTTTTATTGTCAATTTCTCATTCTTCACTCAGATCACTGTCCCAATATGTCATAAAAGGATGTAAGGGTACAGAGTTAGAGCTGTTATTAAGCTGTCCGTAACACCAGTTATTACCGAGCAAACTTGATGTTAGGGATGGTCAAATTGAACAGCTAAAGGTGACAAAACATGTATAATATTTTCTTGAGATGTTGCGGGTGAATCTTCATTTGCTACGGCTGCTTAAAAACTTAATGACAGCCCTGTAATACAGCATATCTGTCTGGTATGTTTTTATAAACAATGTCTAAACAAGGTTTTGATCAGCACCAAAAAGCAAAATCATCTACAATATGACAAGATCCTTTAAATTCTAACTTGTTAAAAATATCTATTTAAGTTAACAGCTTTCATTTACTGTTTGAAATTTCATTTTAAGTCCTTCAATTTTTAGCTTGAATCAAATTAAATTTCACTAATGGTTATGATTAAAATAAAATTTCAAACACAAGAGCTTTATTCAGTGCAACTTAAATCACTCAATATCCTGCAAAAATAATAAAACAGGAACCAAGGAACAAGTGCATTTTACTTGCACCATGTACAGTGCATATATTTCATTCAAGTAACTATTAATACCTCTTTTGGGTGTTAGTAGACATGATCAAGGACTTCCTGTACCAAAGAAATAACAATCAACTACTTTAAAATGGTTTGGTGAAGTTTCAATGTGACTTCCATACACTGCACTTGTAATGACTACATGTTAGAATATACATGTAAGGCCCGGTTCAAACGTTGAATTTCACATGTGCCAAACATAACGCGAGAGTTTAATGCATGTGAAGTGCAACATTTGAATCATTATTAAATTTGACAGTTTAAGTTACAGTGACTTTCACCATATCTGCAACTGAAACAGTTAGGTTGTAATTGACTTTTGATTAAAACGTCGCATTTCACATGTACTGAACTTAATGCATGAATTTCAGTAAATTATTATGATTAATTTAGAGAGACTGGGAATATTGACAGCGAACAGAGTTAAATTCGATAGAGTTGAGAGAGTTAAATTCGACACTTGAATCAAACACCATATTTAACTAGTTAAGTCGACTAAAACAGGAATTAAGTTTGGCACATGTGAAATTCAACATTTGAACTGGGCCTAATACAGACTTTTCAAAGAAAGATTACAACTATATCAGAAAATTTTGGACGTAATGCTTGATATAATATGACATGTATGTCATTGGTTCATTGGATGGGATTTAAAGTTACTGAGCACTCAAAACCTGAAACATTTAACTGTGGACTGCTTATTTACCTGGCATCTGAGAGATGATAATTTTTAATGACTACATCAACATCGTCATTGCATTGTTCAACACAACATGTAACACAATCACCATCAAGTAATTACATGTTTAAGTATACATGTGTACAGGTTAGAACAAATGTCCATGTATTTACTGATTTATTCAGATATTAAAAAATTCTGATGTCATACCTTTTCAATACAGAGTCAGAATAAGATGGTAAAATTATTTCGATATAAAATTTTTTAGGCTCACTTGAATTTTAATTTGTTCAATAATAATATTATACTGATGCAAAAAAATGGCCCTCTATCACGCCCTCTCTTTTTACAATGCACTGGTAAATCTGCAAACATTGACCAGCTGTCACTAATTCTTGACTATTGGGCAAATTAAATGAAACCAAATAAACAATGCAGTTGTTGGAAAGTGGGTAAAACCATTGACAGTTCAATGTGTTGATGACCAAACAACCAAAAAAGGAAGGGGTGGAGAGAGAGATGAAGTCAGGGTCAAAACACAACTAAGAAATAGAGGACAAATACAAGGAAAAAAGAGTTTAAAAAGTAGTGTGCACACATGAACAAAAATAATTTTGGTGGGAAAATGCCATAACCTCCTTCAATAAAAACAACCATGTTAGCCTGGTGAGGAAAAGTAAAACGAAGCTTTCCAGGGTGTCTTGTTTAAAAAAAATATTTGCAAAAAAACTTAAAGTAAAATCTAACTTCATAGTCATCCTCATCCTCAAAGCTAAACACGGTTCATACAGAATTTTTTGGGAAAAAAATCAAGGACTTTTCAAGGACTAAAATCATCTTTTCAAGGACTTCTTTTCCCCAATAACATGAAGTAAAGACCTTTAAAATTGTGTAGGTGGAAGGCGGTTCTCTTATTGCAATACCTGCCTTCATTACGGCACGGTTCCTAGGGTAATTCAAGTGATGGAAAATGAAATACGCTGGAAACACCGAAATCACATAAAGAAAACACTTTCATGATGGCCAAGAAAAGTTTTGTGTATTGCTGCGCTTTCAATCATTCATTTACGCAAAACATTTTTTTTTTTAATGAAAGTTATTTTTATTCAAGGCGCTTACAAAAATATTCAAGCACTTCTGTGGAAAATTTAAGGACTTTTCAAGGGATATTCCACAATTTTTTAATTTTCAAGGACTTTTCAAGACTTGTGTGAACCATGTCTAAAGGTCTAAATGCAATGCCTTGATTGACAACAATGACATCTAACACTTACTCATTTCTGGGTAAATTTGCTCCACTGTCAAAAGTAAAGCTAGATCTTCCTTTTAATCTTGTCTTTTCTGATGTTGGTGCATCATAATACAACCAGATTTCTGGGGACTTGCAAAAATCATAGATTTTAGACCCTTCAGAAAATGTTGCTGGGAATAAAAGGGTTTAAGGGCAAACTGATGATGAGAAATGGAAGATATTGGGTATCCAGTCACTTTGTTCTGGCATCGTCAGATTGTTCCTAGTCAGATTGTTCCACTTAACCCCTTACACCCAAAGATCAAAATTTGAATTCTCATTTGTAGCCCCTATTCATTTCCTACATAAACAGTGGGGAGAAGTTTTTAAAATATCAAGCAAATTCATGCTGTGTGATCATGTCTGTAATTCTCATGACCACTCTCCTTTACAAAGGATTGATATTACAAGGAGAAATTGGACACTCATCACCCTTAGGGCTTAATTTAAAGGGTTAATAGTCATATCAAATAACATTGAACTTTTCATAAGTCTATAAAAAAAAGGGCACTACGCATGTGTACACCTCGTTCTTTAAGCCATAAGCAGAAAAAAGTGCACTTCACATTGAGTTTTACACTAAAACTGTAGAACGATCTATGAAATGGAATGGTCTGACCATGGAACAAAGTGACCATAAAACAGATATTGTATTATTACTATTGTAATCACGGCTGCGTTCTGACCATGCCTGATGGGACCTGGCAGCTACATTGTGCATGTATAAACTCTAGTGGAGGATGGAGGGGGATGGGCATACTTGGAATTTTCCGAACCATAGAAGCTGGGCACCTTCATTTTGTAGGTTCAGAGCATTTTGACCTCTTAATCACAGCCTTGATTTCATTAAATTTTTTACATTTTAATTTTTTTCTTATTATTTACTTATTTATTTAAAAAAACATCACTTATGTTTAATGTAATTATGAAAGATTTGTTTTGTCAAAGCACTAACCATAGGTTCATTTAGCACACGGCAGATAAGCTCTTCTCTTCCACGCAGGTAAAGAGCAAAGTATTTGAAACCCTGTAAATGAGTAACATGAATAATCATCATCATACATACAGGACGTAAACAAAACATGGACCCCCGGTCCATGGACCACTCCATGGACCTGTTCATGGACCCGGTGCATGGACTACCCCTGTGGAACCAAAAATGGAACCTTAAATGGAAGAGTGTGCATCAATAAATTATTATTATTATCAGGATTATGGGCAACTCATATTACACTTAGTCTTGTTCAAACTTTTCCTGAATTCCATACCAATGTAAAGGGTTTGGGTTAGTCTGGTGAAGGAGTAACGATATTTGAATGGTGCAGCTAGGGAGAGAGGTAGGGAAGAAGTAGTCTCCTGTGCAGCTTTTTTTGTGGGTGTGTCGACATCTTGCGTGACAACACAAAAACGGCTGCGAATGTAGGAGACTAGGGAGTAAGAAGTAACGCATGATTATTGAGCACCCTCCCCAGACTTCCCTTCCCTTGATAGCCTGTCAGCAAACTTACCGAATCCTCCTTACGGAACAAACACAAAATGACCTGCATATTTTCAAACTATGTGGTTGGATAGACATTCGGCAAGCTTTGTGGACATAACAGTTATATGCAGGCCATTTTGTGCTTGATCCGTAAGCAGGAGTGACTTAAGTCTGCGGATGAAGAAACATTTCCATGGGCCATCAACGGAAGGAAATTCTGGGGAGGATATGCAACCCGATGAAATAAACGTTTGCACAGGAGGCTACTTCCCCCAAAACACAAATATTGTTCGTCCTTTACCAGACTACATCGAATCCATGTATGGAATGCAAGAAAAAACTGAACAGGTGTATAATATGAGAAGCTCATAAGCCTGATAATATAAACTGAGAGCAAAGTTTGCTTTTGGGGGATATTACCCTCCTTGACAGACATTATTATTCATATCATATTCAGCCCAACTGGTAAAATTCATCTTCAATAAATAGGGGGGTCCACAGGGGTAGTCCATGGACTGGGTCCACGAAGGGGTCCACGGACTAGGTCCACAGGGGTAGTCCAGGGACTGGGGGTCCATGTTTTGTACACGTCCAAGCATACATGGAAAAAAACTGCATTTGCTTGTTGCTTTTTCTGTCACCGAAATTTTCAACTTAACTATGTACATGTATGAAGGAAAAATACTTAATATTGCGCTTGTACACCAGTAAAAAATTCCAAACATTTCAGCTCCTCAACTACCCCATAAGCACTGCTCGCAGGGTTCTACCCCCATTCGAGGGAGATGCTTGGCTAATTTGCAAGTACCCTGCGAGCAGAGGCCCTTCGATCTTCCTAGATAACTCGGGAAGATAGAAGGGCCTCTGCTCGCAGGGTAATTAATTAGCAAAGCACTTTGAAATATGGAATCGTTGGAAGTTTGGACTTCTTGGTTGGAACCTCAGCGGGTCCTTATTACGTACCTTTAAACAACCACATCTAAGCATTTCGTTTAAGAATCCCTGCAACCTCTTCTTTTCCTAAAACAAAAACAACAGACAGTGCAAAACAGCTGTCCAGCTCCGCTCAGTACTTACTTGCACGTTTAATGGAAGAAGAACAGAAATGTGAAGAAAAACCACCAAAAACCGCCCAAGTTTTATAAATTTTTGTATAGGAGGTTACATTGGGTTATCTACTAAAGACATTTTAAGAACAGAATGCTGCTCTTACTTGGAGAAAATAGTTAACATAAGCTTACCATTTGACTCAGCTGAGTGGACGCCATGTTGTTAGTTGCCAAGCTGCCTGGCCTTCTTTGGGAAGGTCAGGTAACCTGGCGTTTGGGCGCGCTTTCTTTCGAAATGGAAGGATACGCTGCAATCTTGCTTCTGGATTTGCGCTCTTTTCGATAAAATGGCTTGTATATAGCTCAGAAAATGCGTCTGAAAGTTCAGGAATCTTTTCTGTTGATTTGGTGGCATAAGGAGGTGTGCATGTTCTAATGAAAGACTGGAATTTAGCAGGAATTGACGTTTGCGTGAAACTAAAACTCAGTATACAGCCGATTGATTGTTCTTGACCTCCAGAAGTAGTAATCAATTTCTGACATGGCGCCTGCGGTAACAGAATATTTTTGAATCTCAAGGAGTCGTTATGGATGAGAAGTAGAAAATAAAGGAAAAAGCGTGGAAATCAGAATTTAAAGGAAGCCGTTGACATGGAAACGTTTACAGATATATTCTCAGAAAGGTGAGCTTATAATTATGCATGATAACAAATCGAATGTAAACAGATTGTTAACTAATTCACTAATTCATAAACCACAGATGATTTTGAACCTTGTATCCAATTCCCCCCCCCCCCCCACTAGTTAGTTGGGGTGTACATAGCTATTCATTAATAAAAAATTAAATGACTCATAGGGCTGAACCGGTCCAGGTTTTCTGAAAACAATAGCGCTGATTTAGCAAAAGAAAGGGAGCGTCAGTTGATAACAGAAAAGTACGCAGAAAAGAACTAAACACTACTTCCGGTGCCGAGTTTGCCGCTCTGCCATTGGTCAAGCCAGTTGTTTGAGTTGCATGTGCCGTCATCAATTGACGTTCTCATTCTGTTGCTAAATCAGCCTAATGTTCTTGTGGTTATGGTAATTATATGACCAGGAAGGGGGAAGGAAAGACAAAATACAATTATTTGTTTGTATAGAAGAGATAAGGATATCCTCTATAATAGGAAGTGGTCTATTTACATTTTAATGGCCCACTAATAATTATACATGTACTTGTTTCAGTCTGGATGATTTGGCAAGGTAGATTCGCAGGTAATCTTTGTCAAAATTGCTTTAATCCTGATGCCCACCCCCTTGTTAAATTTAAACTTAAATGGCCACCGATAACAAGAAGCGCTTGATCCGGACCAGGCAATCCTACAGAAAAACAGGAGACTTTGGACCTGGGGGGGTACTCCCATACATTACCTATACAGGTATGTGCCGCCCAAAGGGGTCGTGATTTCAAAGCTCCTGATTTAGAATGGGGTATCCATTTCAGAGGCGTTTTCTAGAACGGGGTATAAAATTTCGAACGCACGAAAGCTCCACTTTTGTAAGCAGCCATTTGAAAGTATTCAAGGACAGATTGCTTTTAAAAATACGGTTCAATGCGTTAACAAGCAAACTGTTGTGCTCTTGTTGCACCCTAGAACGGAGTATAAAAAATTGGCCTATTTCTAGAACGGGGTATCAGTTTTAGGGCGAATACTAGAACGCGGTATAAAAAATTGCCCCATTTTTAGAACGGGGTATCAATTTTAGGGGAAATTTTTTCTAGAACGGGGTGCCAATTTGGAGTCCCGGGCAGCACATACCCACCTAAAAAATACCCAAGTGCCCCCCGCCCGGGATTTTGGACTGTCTAGATATCATTAGGTTGGCAGATTATCTTACCAAGACCCTTGGCTCTGCTAAAATTGAACCACAACAACATCATACCTAACCTTTGAAATCAATGTGATAACATCTAAGTCACTGCCAATGGGTTGACTGAGTAGCCGCACCACTTCTCCGCAGTTTGCAAATTGAATGTACACACATGTATGTTTTTTTGATGGAAAATGCTAAATTGGTAATAAACTGAGCCATGCATATAAATTCTCACCTGATCAAAATAAATGATCATATACTCATACTATATCCCTAGACTGCTAGTAAAAGTGATCATCTTGATATTAAGCTCCATAACAACAGTTTATACAACTGTAGGTCACAGTGGATCGCTGCTAAAATGTGACTTTGTAAATACGTGTTGTTTTTTTTAATGAGAGAGCACACTTGTTATAAACCCTGGTTACCGGTTATTGGACTTTGGATTTTTGTAATATTATTGTAATAGACCCCTCTTCACTGAATAAAATGTAGAAAAAGGAATATCAAGTAATATTATAGACAATTCAATGCTGGTATTAATACACCACATTGTTCACATCTCTGACATAAGAAAATTTAAAAAAATACTGCTAGTATTCTTTCTTGGTTATCAGCACAGCGTACATACAGTGCATAATTTTGTTCACAAAATGTCATATTTAGATCCATTATACGTGTAACAAAATCATTCTGATAACCCAGTAGTTGCCTTCCTTTGCTTTCTTCTCTTCAAAACAGATCTGAAATGGGATTGGATTTGTTTTGCACACTTGGACTTCATGTACATGTAAAAGCAGAAGAGAAGAAAAAAAGCCTACAAGAGTTTCTGTATTATTTGCATGCAGATGAATTCTACAGGCTAAAAGAAACTGTTTAGTTTTTCTCCCAAGCACATCACTGAAAATCAAGTTGTTTTACAGGTCTTGAATTTATATTTTAAAATTTTTAAAAAAATAAGCACTCATGCAATTAACCTTCCACTGGTTTTGCTCTAATAATTTCTAAAACTTAAGTCTCATTTAGTTCTCTCAAAAATTAAAAAAATATACATTCATAATCAAGTATACTGAAGTTTTCAATTTACAGTTTTTGTAAATTTATTTTACCTCATCTGACCACAGTGGTTTTGTTTGTGCTTCACTGGCCTGAAGTTCATAACTTGAAAGCCTCCGTCGATGTAATTGCGGTGACGGTGATCTAAATCCTTTTGAGATCTTTGGTGGAGCCAACATAATATTATTTTGAAACAAGTTTATCTTTCATAGAATATAATCAAATGGGGTGGTTATAGTAATTGAGTATTCTGGGTTTTTTTTGGCAATATGTAAATTAGGTTAGGCAGGTGTAAATTTGTGAATGGCATACATGTCCATAACTTAATATTCATGGTAATGTCAATGAATTATTCTCATTATTTTGTAAACAAATTTTTTTGGTGTTGATTAAAGAATGTCTGAGTTATCACACTGTCCAGATTTGGTTTAATTAAGTTAATTTATATCGTCGCTGTGTAGCTTGCTGGAAGAATGAAATAAACTTCATATGTGGGTATTTGTCACGTGTACTTAAAAAAAAGTTCAATAAGCTTAGAAAATAAAGAAGTTCTATTTGAGAGTGAATACTAAAAATTATTTTGTGTAGTGGCTGTACCCTTTTGAATGAAAGCACTCTGAAAAAGCCTAGCATTCCAGGTATAAAGAGGTTTTGCACTTGTTGGGATGTTTAAAGGGATTGACATCTTATTTTACTCTTTTAAAAAATATCAGGAAAACTGTTGTATAAATTTAAATTTACTGTATTTGCTTATTTTGGGATACTAGTGGCTGTGAAGGGTGCTTACTGCACAGGCCCTGGTGGTATGGGCCTTGGTATCAAGTGTAAAGTTTGTTGGTACTGCATTTGTACTGTGTTGATCCTTTATCTACTGTACCCCATCATACTCTCAAAGTGCAGTGAGCTTATTTATTAGTTTCAGGCTTAGTTAATATTCTGACCTGGAAATATTTCAGTTCATCTCTGTTGGCTACTCACATGTACATGTAAGGTGTTTCCATCATTTTTACATGAATCAGTCGGTTCAATTTTCCTTTTGCAAAACTGTTGTTCTGAACTGACCAACACAATTATTGCCATACACAGAAACAAAAAACAAAAAAATGAAAATTAAACCACAACAATATCTTACTGTTTCTTTACCGTTTTTTATCTAGCTTGATCAGAAAAGGATCACTGACATCATGTGAGGAGGAGTTGAGAGAGGTACAGTGAATTCAGGTGGATTTTGATATAGCCAACAATCATCGTCAAAAGTGTTGGGAAGGCTACTAACTTTATACCTTTTTTTCTTCTTCTCTGCTCCTGGCCCACTGCTGAACAAAATTAAATTTATGATAATTATTATTTGCTTGTTTCCAAACATTGAATTGAGGAGGATTATTAAAGGGGAAAACCATCTTTTTTGAACATCAAAATGAACTACTGTTAAGTTTTACAGTCTTTGCAACTACTTTTGTCCAGGAGTTTTGGTCGATTTTCTATTTTCTTTGTCTGCAAGGCCCAGAAGACAAAGGAAATTGAAAATCAAACTTGGTGACCTGTAACATTAATGTATTAAAAGACAATGTATATAATTTTTTAATTTGATAAATTTGTACTAGACTAAGTCAACTAGTTTGTGCAGTCAAAATTGTAGTTCATCTTGCCCTAGACAGTTTCATTACTAAAAACATTTATTATTTTAAGCTGTAAAATTAAACTAGTAGTAAGAGCTCTTTATACTTGAGAAAGTATTAAGTAAAATGTATCATCTAGCAATAATAAATTTTTAGTATTCTGAGGCAAACAAACAAATATAAAAATATTATTCAATAAAAAAGTGATTGTAATTATGGCAAGGACTTAAATGTGCAAACAGACACACACAATGGTCTAAAAGGATGTACAACTATAACAGTTGATTATGTCTTTGAAAGGGACCTGAGGATGAATAATTTATTAGCATCAGTCTGTAAACTTATGATGTACAGATTCACACATTGTACTTTAGGTTAATGGGCACTATTTTTTGTTCACAAAGGAAAACCTTGAACGTAATTAAATATTAATTAATTAAGTTTTATAATATTTTAGTTTCTGTAGCATCCAGTTGGTATAAGTTTTTCTTTTAACAATGCCATCTAAAACTCTTCAGGTAATTTTTTTCTGTAATTTAGTTTAGCTATAAGTGACATGGAAAAGTGAGTTTTGAGATCTCTGATCTGTGCAGGTAAATCTTTTTGAAAGTTTCAAATTGTTACAAGATACAGAGGATTGCATTATTTTTAAACTACAGGTATACATATTAGTTTGAAAGAATTTTGACTTGTGCTTTGTAAAAACTGAGCAGAAAGTGTATTTTGTATTGCCTTAAGTCATAAGTTTCATAATAATATTTACGTTTTATGTAAACAACACATTAATATGGGTAAATTTGGTGTATTCTACAGCATTTTTTTGTTGTTTTTTTTTTGTTTTTTAGTTTAATTCTAAATCTGTTGTGAAACATGAATTTTATTATCATAGTTTTCCATGAGATTTTCATTGCACAATGTTGGTCTTATAAGCACATGTACAAAATAATGTATATAGTCATTGTGTCCAGTAAATGTTGTACAGGCTTTTTCCCATGGTGAGAGAGGAGGGAGGGGGATCTGTAAAGTATTAAAAAGGTTTTGAAAGCTTCAAGTTATCATGAAAGTGATATGTTACACAAGATGATTTGCAATGACGATTTATGGGGAAAAAATGCTGGGACAATGTTGTGACAAATCCAATCAATGTTGCCTTGGTACTGTCACAATGCTATGTTGTGCTAAATATTGCAAATCATTCCCTGTAACATAGCCTCAAAGATGTCAGTAGTGGTAACTTATTAACATCCTTGAAAAAAACTGGGACTAAAGAAAAGGTCCTCATTACTGGGGTTTAACTTACCGCAATTGATGTCCCACTGTATTTTACTTACAGGTAATTTAAATGGTCATTTTAGTTAATGTTTCTGTTACTTTTGTTAAATTTGTTGATTCTTATTCTCGTTCGTTATTAGCTAATGCGGCAAATTGACCTGATGGTGTCTGCTAAGAAAAGTGAGTGGGAAAATCACATGCATGCTGTTCAGATTCAGCTCGATAAGAAAGCTAAGGAACTGGAGTTTGTTAAAAGTGAAATGGAACACAAAAGTCAGGAGGTACAGGACACAAGTTTTATTATAATATTATTTATCAATGTTTGATAATTCAGATGCTCATTTTCATTAATCAGAGTATCTTCAGTTCATTTAAGTAGAGTAGTAATTGTGGCTGTGAATGGCGGCACATGATAGCCGTGGCGATGAACATAACAACAAAACGTTTAATCATACACGAGGCTGAATCAACTCACAAGTATCATCACAAACATCCGTTAGAAAGCTTTAGAAATCCGTAGCACGACAAAGAAAAACTGAAACAAACGACTTACAAACACTTGGGAAACTTGAAGAAAACCTTAGTGAAACTCCAGGTTATTTCACGGTGGCCTCGTGCCCGCCAATGCCGAGGCCCCATGCGCATGCTCCTAATAAACAAGAGGGTAAGCCCGCTGGTCAGGATACCAGCGGTTACATGGCTCCCCAAAATGTAAGCCTTGCCTTACATTTTAACAACAACTGTAACTATCTCGATAACAGTCCTAAAACTTATTTCCTAGAAAAAAGCGTTCATAAAAGCTCGGGCTCCTCGTCGGGGAATCCCGGTCTCTAAACATTACGCCTCCAAAAGTAAGACGAGCTTGTTAACAGGCCTTTCCAACTTGGAGCCATTGCCTGTCAGCACTGTCGCCGATCGGACTCGATCTTGATCATCAGGATGCATGGATACGACCTTACCCAAAGGCCACCTATTTCTCGGAGACTGGTTTTCCTTCAGTAATACCACATCTCCAACCTTGAAATTTCTTTTTGGCCGAGTCCACTTGATTCTTGCTTGTAACTGTTGTAAGTACTCTTTGCTCCACCTTGACCAAAACTCTTGTGCTAGGTGCTGCGTGCGTCTCCATTTCCTTCGACAGTATAAGTCTTCTCTCTTAAATTCTCCTGGTGGAGGTAGCACGAGCCTTGTCTTTCCTGTCAGCAGCATACTTGGCGACAATGGTGGCTCTGAAAGAGGATCGCTGAGTGTCTCTACCGTCAGAGGCCTGTTATTAATTGTAGATTCTGCTTCGCAAAGGAATGTTCTCAGCGATTCTTCGTCAAGGCGATTACCATGCTCTCTAATAAGACCACTCATGACGTTTCTGATTGACCTGATTTGCCTTTCCCACACGCCTCCAAAGTTACTCGCGGATGCAGGGTTCTTAATCCAATCGATCTTGGCTTTAAGGAGTTCTGCTTTGACCTTTTGGTCGTCCATCTCGTCAATAGCTTTCTTGAGTTCGGCTTCCGCACCAATAAAATTCGTTCCTCTGTCACAACGAATTTCTCTGACTGGTCCTCTTCTACAGATGAACCGTCTCAATGCTTGAATAAAGGAATCAGTTTCTAAGGAGTCTGCAACTTCTATGTGTACAGCCCTACTTGCAAAACAAGTAAACAATGCTCCGTATCTCTTGACGACAGACCTTCCTCGTTGTACGTGCCAAGGGCCAAAGAAATCGACTCCGCAGTAGGTGAAAGGCGGTGCTGGCTCCACGCGCGACTTCGGCAAGTCAGCCATCTTCTGCTCTCCCACGGTACCTCGAAGGTAACGACATGTTACGCATTTGGAAATAAACTGCCTGACCATCGAATTTCCACCGACGATCCAATAGCCACTAGCACGAAGCTCATTCAACGTAATTCCTCTTCCGCTATGGTGTGTTCTTTCGTGCGCGCAGCTGATAACCAGTGCAGTAATGTGGCTTGACTTTGGTAAGATGACAGGGTTTTTGAGTGACTCCGATAGTGTCGCCTTCCGTATTCGCCCGCCAACTCTCATGACACCATCACTGTCTAGGAAGGGGTCTAACGTGCGAAGCGTACTGGTTTTCTTCAGCACAGCCTTCTTTTCCTTTTCCACTTCCCGGCTACCGTACTTAGCGTTCGCTTGAACGATTTGGAGACTTCTTATTTCCGACGGAAATGCTTGTCTTTGTACTTGTTTTATGATCTCCACTTCTGCTTCCTGTAAGTTGGCGACGTTAAGTTCTGCACTTGCAGGGGTGTTACTGACACACCTTTGTTCTGGTGATCCAGCACTGGACTCCTTCCCTTTAGACATGACCTTTACTCTGAGCTTCCTCTTGTACTTTAGGCATAGTGCGACAGCTACCTTCGCTTTGTGCCAGCTTGAGAACCTGAGAAGTCTCTCAACTATGACGTCGCTCTCTTTCACTACACATGTGTTAACCTTAGTGCTCTTCACTTCGGGGGAATCTGGGTCCACAGTGTCTTTGTATGACTTTTCTTTCAGCCAACTGCTTGTAGGTTTTCTAAGGAAGTCAGGGCCTTGAATCCATTGTGATTTCTCAACAAAGTCTTTAGGTGACATACCCCTTGAACCTTCGTCTGCAGTATTTGAAGTGGTTTCGACGTAATACCACTGTGAGGGGGTGGTGTGATCATGAATGAGTTGGACCCGGTTGGCAACGTAGACATGAAACCGACTGGATTCGTTACTTATAAAGCCTAGGACGACTTTACTATCCGTCCAATAGTGATCCTCAATGTTCTCATACTCTAGCTCATCCTTTAGAACATCACCAATCTTGACAGAGACTGAGGCTGCAGCTAACTCTAACCTTGGAATGCTGACGGTCTTTTTTGGCGTCACTCGCGCCTTTCCCATAACAAAAGAGACATGTACTTTGCCGTGTTCGTCTTCGAGCCTTAAATACGAGCATTGACCGTAACCACACGTCGAAGCGTCAGACATACAGTGGAGTTGCGTGGACACAATCTTTCCAAACTCCGAGGGCTTAAAGCTTCTTGGTACTTTCAAACTTTCAAGTAGGTACAGCTCAGTTCGCCATCTTTCCCATCTGCTGCGGGTGGCATCGTCGACTGGCTCATCCCAGCTATTAGTGTGACAGATGTCCTGCAAAATTTTCTTTCCGACCAGTACTACAGGAGCGATGAAACCCAAGGGATCATAAATCGAGCTGATGGTCGATAGGATGCCTCTTCGCGTGCAAGGTTTATCCTTAAGTTCAATCCTAAAGTTGAACGTGTCTGACTCAATACACCAAATAACTCCTAACGCTCTTTCTATGGGTAACTTGTCCTGGCCAAGTGTGAGGTTCTTCACCTGTTCTGCTCTGTGTTCTTGAGGGATTGAGCTGATGATACGCTCTGTGTTCCCCACAAACTTGGTTAAATTAAATCCACCATTTTGGCAAACTGCTTTGGTGTCCTTTGCTAGCTTAATAGTCTCATCTTCTGTGCTTGCCGATTTGAGAACGTCGTCCACATAAAAGTTCCTTCTAAGGGTGTTGGCTGCTTCTGACCCGTATTCACCTTCGTTGTCGTCAGCAGTGCGTTTAAGTGCGTAATTAGCGCATGCAGGGGATGATACTGCACCGAACAAATGCACTGCCATGCAATACTCTTCGGCCTCCTTCTGTAAATCGCCGTCTGGCCACCATAGGAACCTGAGAAAACTTTGATCTTCCTTCCTTACTCTTACTTGAAAGAACATTTTTTTCAATGTCTGCCATAAAAGCATACTTTTCTTGCCGGAACCTGGTAAGAACAGCGACTAGGTTACTGCTGAGATCCGGTCCCTGGAGCAATTTGTCATTCAAGGAGTGTCCTTCGAATGAGGCCGAGCAATCAAACACCACGCGTATTTTCGTTGGCTTTTGCGGGTGATAAATTCCGTGATGCGGCAGGTACCAGGTTCTGCCCAACTGATCTTTAAGATCGTCATCCACCTTCCGAGCGTACCCTTTCGAAATGATATCAGACATAAAGCTGCAGTAATCCGTGTAATACTTGTCATCAGACATTAGACGTTTCTTGAGGCTGTTCAGGCGCTTCTCAGCTTGAGCATAGTTGTTTGGGAGCTGAGTGTTCTTATGTTTGAAAGGGAGGGGCATTTCATAGTGCAAGTCCTCGAGATGAACGATACCAGTTTCCACGGTCTCGTAGAACTTGATGTCTTCGCGCGACAATGATATTCCCTTTTCCTTTTCGGAGAAGTCAAGTTCAAACATTCGTTCAACTGCCTGCGGTGTTATCTGTTCCTTAACCGTCCTTTGAGAGACTACATATCCTCGCGGGGATAAGGTGTCTTGCTGATTAAGATGAATTCTGTTGCACGTTAAGATGCTACTCTGACAGGGAGTATAGAGAGGACCGTTTATGTACCATCCGAGCAGCGACCGTACAGCATATGGATCTGATTCTCTACCGTAAACAATTTCTCTTGGTCGTAGGGCACTTGGACAGTTCAATCCGATAAGAAGACCCACTTCAACATCTTCCATGTAGGGGGAAAGTTCGGCACTAACATCCTTCAAATGAGACATCCTACTGATTACATCAGGTCGTGGTATTTCACTGCGGTCCGCTGGAATGACGTTTCGCGTGAAAGTTCTGGGCAACTCTAACCTTGCACTCTCGTCCTTGACATTAGCTACGACTAATCCTTCAATGGCCTTCGACGTTACGCTGTGTGTTCCATGGATTGTAGTAAGAGTGAGGTCAGTGCTACTTCCTTCAACGCCAAGAGCCTTAGCTGCGCTCTCATTCACAAACGTTCCACCGCTGGCATTGTCCAGTAAAGCATAAACTCGTATTTTCTTCGCTGGATTACTCTTATGAAACAACCAGACTGGCAATATACCCATGTTAATCGGCACATCTCCAGCTTCAGTTATGTTGCAGATGGCAGTGTGATTGCTACTAACTCGAGGTCTATCTTGAGGTTGGTTCTTGTCACCTTTGTCGTTCGATTTCTTAATTCCATCAGGGTTGTGTAGTGACGTTGGATGCTGCTTGTTGCACGTCTTGCACGTTTGCCTTTCCTTGCAATGCTTTGCAATGTGCTGGCCGCTAAAGCAGCCGAAGCACAGTTTCTTCTCTACTACAAAGTCTCGACGGTCACTCAGAGATTTCTTCAAAAACTGTTCACACTCGTTTAAGTTATGAGGCTTCTTGCATAAAGAGCATACAACTGTCTGTTGATTGCTATCTTCCTGATTTACACCAGTAGCAAGGTTTGTCCCTTTTCCCCTTTTTAGCGGCTTTCTTGTAAACTTAAGATGAGTGCCTCTTTCTTTTTCATCATGATTTGGCTTGCTAACATATTGCTCTGAAAACACAGGATCTGTGGCAAGATCAGCTTGTTCACGCACGAATTGGGAGAACTCTTCGAAGTCAGCTATTCTTCCCTTTGCACTTTTTGTCCTATTGTTCCTTTCGGTCCATTTGGTTCGCAGGTACTTGGGTAACTTTTCCCACAGTTGACGCAGTACATGAGCAGTGTTTAAATCATCCATATGAGACATGCCTTTCATAGCAGACTTGGCTTGATCCAGGGCAATAGAGAAATCTTGGAGGGCTAAACCATCATTTGGTCTGATTGGTGGCCAAGAAGACAATTTCGTGATGTGGGCATTAGCTATCTTGAATGGATCACCGAATTGTCTCTTTAAAAGTCTCTTAGCTTCTTCATAGGATCCTTCCATTTTCCTTTGTAGACAACCGTTTATAATTTCCTTTGCTTTACCTGACGTGTATTGACCCAGAAAATATAATCTCTCATTGGAATCTTCAACCTTTGATTCGATTAATGACTCAAAGGCAGTCATGAATAATGGATACTCCATAGCATCACCATAAAACATAGGAGGCTCGTTCGATGGCAAAAGACTCCTTGCTTGCTGGTTGACAATAGTCTGAGACAACTCAGTTTGTTTTCGTTGAATTTCCACAATGTCTTGGAAAGTATTGTCTTTGACTGACAAACTTGTTGAACAACCTTGTGGTGGTGATGGTGGCAGACACCATACCTGATCAGGAGCAGTATACGTAACAGCAGGAGTCGTTGCTAAAGATGGGTATGAAGAAGAATGTACACTCGAGGGTGTTCATGGGGTTTTGCTGCATAGGCGGTAGTCTCTTCCTTACTCCGTGATGCACCAGCATTTATCGGTGTTGTGTAAATGGGTCCTTTCTGAGGTACCGTAAATGCACTAAGAGGACTAGCTTGTAAAGGCTGTTGATAATCTGTAACGCCTAAAGAACTTACAAGTTGTTGCTGCGAAGTTGGTTCCAAAACCAGCAGAGTTACCTGCTTGCATTGTACAAATTGGAGGACTTTGTGTATGAACAGGTGCCAAGGTTGACTCTTCATTCTTCATTTCTTCATAAATCCTTTCTTCTTCCCTTGCTTGAGCTAAACTCTGTTTTAGCTCTAAATGTTCAGCTGCCATTTTAAGCGCTTGCTTTTCCTTCAGGAATGATGCTTCAATTTCCAATGCTGCAACCTTAGTTTTTGCTTCTACCAACTTAGCTTTAGATGAAATTGAAGATGAGATGGACCGTTTAGAGTGATTTGACTTTCTTGTGCGATGAGACCCACTAGAGATAACAGAGTTTACTTCATTTGACTGATGCCTTTTCGCCTTGGACAAATATTCGATGACAGACTGTTTAAATTTAAAGACATCTTCATCGTGAGCATCGTACCATGAATTGGCATTAACAATAACAGTTTCATCTTCTAACGCGTCAACATAATTATCCTGAGCATCTTGCAGTTTAACAAGCAAATTGTTAAGACCTTCCATTTCAACTGACACAAATTCATAATTCTTAAGATCAGCAAGTAGCGGTTTCATTTTGTTTATCTGTCTAGTTACGTGACGTAACGCCACAGTTCTATGATCCTTTAACCTTTGTAATTCGTGTTGTTTACCTTTATCCGTTGGAATTTTTCTCCTTTCGCCCACTCCTAGCGCTTCAGCATCACGGACCGTCGATTTTGCTCCCATAGTCAGTGAACCTTGAACCTTTACTGAATTAGGAAGTTCCGTTTCTGATGCTGCATCCGTTGGCTGACTGTGAAGCGGCGATATAACACGAAACAGTTCCGTATCCATTGTTGGGGAGTGCGAACGCGAAACTTGCAAGCTCAGCAAATTGTCATCCTCAAAATAAGCCGCAAATTCCTTGCCTTCACCTTCCATGACCGTAAATATCCCCAAAACCGTAAAACCAGATCAAAACTATAGATAGATAGAAGCACCACCGTAACTTTTATAATCCTTGTAAATCCATAAAGTCCATGAGGTCGTGAAATAACTGTGGCTGTGAATGGCGGCACATGATAGCCGTGGCGATGAACATAACAACAAAACGTTTAATCATACACGAGGCTGAATCAACTCACAAGTATCATCACAAACATCTGTTAGAAAGCTTTAGAAATCCGTAGCACGACAAAGAAAAACTGAAACAAACGACTTACAAACACTTGGGAAACTTGAAGAAAACCTTAGTGAAACTTCAGGTTATTTCACGGTGGCCTCGTGCCCGCCAATGCCGAGGCCCCGTGCGCATGCTCCTAATAAACAAGAGGGTAAGCCCGCTGGTCAGGATACCAGCGGTTACAGTAATTATTTTTGTGGCCTCCAAAACAGATACAATGCCCACTTAACCCCTGAAAACTTTGGCGCAGTGGTGAGAGGTGGTGAGAGCACTCGCCTCCCACCAATGTGGCCCAGGTTCAAATCCCGGCGTCAACACCGTATGTGGGTTGAGTTTGTTGTTGGTTCTCTCCCTTGCTGCGAGAGGTTTTTCTCCGGGTACTCCGGTTTTCCCCTCTCCTCAAAAACCAACACTTCCAAATTCCAATTCGATCTGGAATGTACGGACACGTTTAAACGAGTTCATATTAACTCTTAAGTGCTTCGTGGGTAAAAAAGCAATTTACATTTTGCATTTTGCATTTTTATTCCAATAAATCTACCCTACATACACTTGAAGATCTTAGGGGGTTTTCCCCAGCCTCATAGCCTAAGCTAGATAAATCTCACTTGCCTGCCAAAGGCTATTAGACAGCACCTTAATATCAACTTCCATTTATGTGCAGGGCTGTGTTCTAGCTAGCAGAGCTTGGTGGCCCTTGGTGCACAACTTTTACTCTCGGACGACTATAAAATCTCAGATTTTTAATACAAATCATATGCTGGGCACCCTAGATTTTACATGTCCAGAGCACTGGGCTCCCTTGAATTTTCCTTCGAGCACAGCGTTGATGCATGCATGCATGCATGCTATAACACTACTATGATCTGCTTCACCTTCTATCAACAGGTAGGAAGACTTCAACAGAAAGTGGATGAGATGGAAATGACTCAAAGAGATTTAGTTGCTGAGTATGAGGAACATGTATTGCATCTGAAAGAAGAGGTATATCAGGGCTGAACTGCTAGTCTCTGGTTTACAAACATGTTCTATTCAATGAATCAACCACAGTTTTCCACTGTCTACACTAGATCATAGAAATTACTGTATGTAAAACTTTTAAAACAAAACTGGGACCACAAGCCAATGGCAAGCGGTTTTGCCGTTAGGCTGCGTGGCACTGGTCTCAAAAGGGGTAGGGAATGAGGAGAAAAGTGGGAAGATTGCTTTTTTTTTCTCATCCGCTAGCCTTTTGTGTCTACCATGCAGACTATTTTTGCCTCAAAGCTTTGACAATTGTTGATGTCTTTTCTGTACTGTACATTGTTGAAGTGACCTTTTGTAAACTTCCACTTCTTGTGAAATGTCTCAGAAGAATCGGTGCAAAAGACAGGGAAAATTAAATTGCAGGCACCATCATTGCATTAGTTTTATTTTAGGTACACTCCAGTCCTGTAGTCAACAGCTCTTGATACAAAATTTGCTGCTACATGTATAATGTATCAATTGCTTGGCAGCTTTTCAAATTATAGCTCTAATTAAGTCCAAAGTGGTCAAGTAAACCAAATTAATGTTGACTCTTTGGCAATTTTATTGTGTCACTTCAAAGACAGTTACTATTCTTATGTTTGTGAAATTCAATTTACATGTACAGAATACACATACTATATAAAAATCACTGAATTTTCCTGCTTACAACTCAACTTATTTTTCAGGTTGACAACCTGAAATATGAACATGACAAACTCCAAAAGAAAAGCAACAAACAAGCAGCTCAGGTTGAAAAAGAAAGAGACCAGGTAATTTTAATTTTTTATTATTTTATTTTAAATGATACTACAATCTTAGTCTATTAGGTCTTTCAGAATTTTCTCTCAGTTGCAATTGACTCCATTTCAGCTTTTCACTAATCTGAAGTCCAAAGGCACAGAAGTGGACACTCTCAAAGATCAAATTGAGGTAGTAAATTTTGAATATAACCCCTTGTAACTATACAGTTAGTCTGCTACACAGCTGTTGTAGTGTCGTTACGCAATGTTCCTGGGAAGGAGCATTGTGTGACAACACTGAAAATGGCTGTGTAGCAGACTACTGAAGTTCCATTTAAAGTGGCCATCTTCAGGGTACCAGTAAGTGGCTGGCCTCTTTATAGAGGTTGGCCTCTTAGTAGAGGTTCATCATAGATACGATTAATAATCTTTAACAGAAACATTACTTTAAAGATCTTCAAATGTACATTGTAATTAATTTGCATGGTAGGAATATCAGGCCAAGATGCTGGAGCTTGAAGGAGGACGTAAAGCGAGAGATGATCGCATCAAAGCACTGGAGAATCAGAAGAAGGCCTTGATTGAGAAAAGCGATCTCATGCAGGTACTACAAGACTCTTTTTGGTATGCATTTGTGTATCATGTCAGAGTTGTGCTTTAGCAGTGCACATTGGCTTGTGCCAACTTACATGTACTTTTGCATTTTGGTATGAATTAGTTCTTGCCTAAAAATTATATTCTGGCACCCTCTGCACCCTGGACTACTTAGGCACAAAGCATTAATATACCCACTAAAAATTTTGTAAAATAGAGAAGACCTTGTCATTCATTAATTCATGGTTTGTCATGTATCTACACTCTAAGACAGAAACAGTTGGGATAGCAAAACGCCCACCCCCCTGAAATCAAGTATGAATCCAAGCCGAAAGGCCAAAACATGTCATTTTCATGTTTGTTGATTTGTTGGGGGAAGGGGTGTCTAAAATTTCTGTTTATTGTGTCTAAGATTGTAGCTTACAAGTGTCTCATAAACCAAATCTACAATTTTATGCCAGAAATGTTGTTTGTTTTACAAGAACATGTGACTTGTCATACATGTATATTATGTAAACACTGAGTGAAATGATTAAAAACAAGTACTGCTAGGAGACTAGTCAAAGCCGTCTGACTCCAACACTACAGTTTTCACTGAAAGTTTTCTTTTCCAAAAATTAAAGTTAGCTCATTAAATGTAGAAGACTTCAGTAAAGCCTCACAAACACAATTGAGTCATTCTAAGTGCACATAAAGAGACTGTGTCGCGGTTGTCTATTTCATTTGGTTAATTATGTCAACTAAACGTCCTTGTTTGCTATAGACCTTGCATGACCTTGAGAAATTACTTGTTGTAAGTGACAAAACCAGCATTAGATCAAACCATATCCAACTGTACAAAGAACAATCCTAGACTTTTAAATGCCCTTGGCAGCTATAAAAAGTTTTCAAAACCACATCTGCAACCTGTTTTGATCTTTTTTAAGTTTGTCCATCCTTGATTTCTTTTGTATTCACTGTGTTATACCTTCTTTTAATGTTTTGAGCGGTTATTTTTATGTTTCAATCAAACTGATGGCAATTCTTACAGTTTGAATTTTGTTAAAGTTTGTGACACAGCTCCTGCATTTTATTTTTAGCAACAGTTACTTGGATACCAGGCACAGCTAAATAAAAGAAGACAGATGATGGAAAATCTTGAACGTGATCATCAACAGGAGATGGCTGAATTACACAATCAGGTATGATTCACTGTCAGAACAGTCTTGAGTAACTTCTATATACATGTAAAGTCGACTCCCGATAACTCGAACCTTTAAGGGAAATCAAAAAAGGTTCGAGTTTTCGGGAGTTCGAAGTAAATAACCGGAAATAAGCAAATAAGCAAATGGGATGGGGAAGGAATGCAAGTATCATGTACACTTCACTTCAAGAACAGCAACTGCAAGAAATAGATTGATATTTTGAAAACGTTAAGTAGCAACAAAGCTTGATTTGTATGCAGGGCTGGACACTATTTTTGGAACTGGACTGACAAAAAAGTAAATACCAGGGATACACGGTTGTTTTGAAATAAACTCATTGTCTCGGATCAAGACTGCAGAAAACCCCTTTTCCTCCTCGAAGGAATTAACTTGTATCGAAACGACCGGTAACCGTTTTTTCCTGAACCATATTACTTCCAATATATTACTCCAAAACCTCTCATCCTGAGTCAGATTGAAGTAAGCTCCTTGCTTTGCCAATGTGAAGAGGATAGTGCAGTACGGTAGTGCTGTTCAGTTCCTTCATCCATACAATCACATGTTACATTCCCAAGACTGATCATTAGATCTCAAAAAAAAACAAAACATTTATCAAATTGCAGCTTGGCCGAGCAAAAGATGAATGTGATGGAACGGAAGACACTGTTCAACAGTAAGAATTATTTTACAGACAATGTAAATTGATGTGATTATAAAAGTTCAGATGAAATCGGTTTGTTTGTTAGTTTTCTTGTTGTGTGGGGTAAAGCATTACTGTAGTTCAGTTCAAGGAACTTGTTCTGACCAATCACAGCATGCTCATCTGTGATACGTTATTTTGTATAATCCCTAGAGTAAGAACATATTAACATGTGCACTGGTGAAGATTTACCGACTGAAGTAATAGCTTTTTCGTTTTCTTAGAGTGCTTTCTATTTGTCAGAACTGACCCGCCAGACCATTCCCATCGTATTGAGAATTTCACTTTTAATCAAAATTGTCCAGGCAAATCATTAAATTCCTAAATAATATATGCACGTTGTTGATGGGTTTTTGAGCGAAAACTAAAACAAAAACGCCTCCTTCATTTTAAATTGGTTTAATGTCAAGGCGCCCGAAAGTCGTCTCGCCCGAAGTTATGTCACCCGAAACCTTTAGTTAAGTAGCCGAAAATGCTAAGCAATCAGTGAGTAATGTCGCCCGAAATTTCGTCATGCTCAACAACATCCTTACATCACACACACAATCTTCTCTGTGTCTGTGTAGTACACCTGATAAACCTTCGGGTGATATAATTCAGCTTTTCGGGCTGCATAATTCTGGTTTCCTGCAGGATGACTTTCGTGCGACTTGACCGGTTACCTTCAAAATGACCCTCCGACTGGCCAGTTCTGACTTTTGGAAAGCGCCCTTTGTTCTCAACTACACCTGTAATTCCCCTCTCCATTCATGTGTAAAGTCAACTGTGGCATAGGGGGATTATGCGGAGTTGTATGTGGTCGAGTACCGCCGGTACCGCCCCAGAAGACTGTCTTTGATACCTGTTACAATAGAGACCTTTAGATTCTAAGACGAGGACGACCATGAGCGCGAGATTTTCTAAGTGGTGCGCGCGTGAACCAGTGTCCTTTTGGCGGGAAAACGTGATAGCCGTCGTCATTCTACTACGGGTTTTAGCGACAATAGGGCCATTTATACGAGGAAAAATAAGACGCGTCTTACATAAAACGCGTCTTAAATAAGACGCGAACTTTCCTTATAAACGGCACATTTTGTCTAAAATAAGACGCGGTTTAGCTAAGACGCGTCTTATTAGATAAGAGATGCTCGTATAAATGGTACAGTTCGCGTCTTATTTAAGACGCGTCTTATTTTTCCTCGTATAAATGGCCCTAATGTCGTTGTGGCAGAAACAAGTTATCAAATGTTAGAAGTTTTATCATTTTGCGCACGGGAGAGGGCTTAAACTCCTTCAATAAAAATAATCGTGCTGACTTTTCTGGTGAAGTATATTACAATGAAGCTACCCGTAGTTTCTATGTTTTGAGAGTTCGCGAGAAAACTTTAAGTTTAATCTCGTCCTTGTAGTCGCCCTCATACTCGCAATTTAGGGAGCTTTAGCAACGACGACGGCGACGGCAACGAGGACGTCAAAAAAGCAATAGGTTTATTGAGCAAAACAACTACTTTGCAGGTGCATCACGCTTTTTTGAACATTTCTTTACCGTCCTTGCCCGACTACGACGTGAAAATGCCTCATTCCAATTTTAATGGAAGACGTAAACAAGCGACGACGAATCTCTTTTTCTCTCTCTAAACTTGAGTGTGGTCCTCAAGAAATCAACTCCAGGGAAATTCGCCCACACTTGCCATTTTTAGCAAATTGGAATAAACGCGACAAAGATTGAAAAAAACGGGAATTCATTTTAAAACTGACGTTTTCGCTGCCGTTGCCGTCGTCGATGCTAGGGCTCCCTGTTGTCTCTAATGAGAACTTAGGGAAACACTAAACATGCCTTGTAAATGTTGTTGGTACGCTGCTTGTGTAGTTTGTTTTATAAACGTAACGTATTATTAACAGGCTCAAGAGTTCCTTAGAAGAAGCATTAGCTTCCAACAGAGAGCAAGCTTCTGACATTGCTAATCTGCAGGATGAACTCAGAAGGATTCACTCCTCAGTTCAGGTGATTACTTATGTCCAGAAATACATGCAATTGCGAAAATGGCGAAAAATCGCCAGACAGCTGGCGATTTAAATTGGATGCCAAAAGTGGCCCCTTGGACAGTGGCGATTTTGGCGAAAATTCGCCAAAGATTTAGTGAAACTTGTTTGTTTAGTTTGTTTTGTTTTTCCTGGTTAATTTATTTATGGTGTATGGCATAAGATTTATATTACAGTCAGATAGTTTGGTTTGTACTGTAGAGACTAGAGGAAGAAAATACGCATCTGCAGTTGGAACTCCAAGCAAGAGATGATCTTATCAGGGTAACTTATCAATATATTCGATCTTTTTCGTTTTTCTGTTGTTACTGTAGTTTGTTTGATATGTTCCTTCACCATGAAAGATCATCAGGTTGCCGGCTGCGGTGGGTATATGATTGGGAGATTTCTTTAAACTTTTGAAAGAGAGATTTTAAGGCTCAACTGTCATTTTATATGGTGGGTTTTGGACCTTAAACCATGATTCTAAAATCTAAGTTTGACCGAGCAATTGAACTTGGAAAACGTAATATATCAGTACTGAGTTTTTGTTAATAAAATGTAGGCCGCAGAAGTTGACCAAAGACAGCACTCAGAGGACATGTCTAAATTGGAACAGAGTTTGGTCATGAAAGATGAAGTTATCAGGTAAGCTAGAAGTTGCACTGAAAATGGTAATAACATAACTAAGTGTTAAATCCCTCTTTGCATCGACAACAATCATTAAGTTGTGTCACAACTGCTAAAATTACCCTTCCATGGCCATGTGAATGCGACCGACGTTCAATCTAAATAATTCTGATGCATTCTTTATACCTGTCTCGCTTTATTTTGTTTAAGACTTTGTTGTGAACTTCTGGTTTCTGTTTTATTAATCATATGTTTCATTGCATTATGTATAAATCTAACTATTTTGAAATATAGAAATGTTCTATACACCCATATATCTCACTATAATGAGCCAGGGTCATCTCTGTACAACGTCCACTTACATCTCTCCCCAAGCTACACCGTAGAGAAAGTCCACTGTAGTTTTCAGTAATTGTTTGACAGTTTGTCTTGCCCACATTGTAGACAGTTGGAAGAAGTTGGCAAAAGAACAGAAAACATTGAAATAAGGAGGCTAAAGGAGGATCTCAGGACGAGTCGAATAGAAATACAGTAAGTTTTTTCTTTTCTTTTCTTTTTCTTTCTTTTTTTTTTGGAAAAAAGTAAAGGTTCACTGAGCACAACAAGTAGATTCTATAAAGATGGGGTCAAAATACGCAACTTTAAAAACCTTT